CTCGTTCTGATCTACCCCAAAGGCTAAATCTACGCCTAGTAAGGCTCTGATACCATTGATGGATTAACAGGATCCACTAATCATAGATCTAGTGGGTCAAACTGACATTTAGGATATGGAGTAAACCCTAGAACATGATCTAGTGTGAGGAAACAGATAGATAGAGGGATGCGGGGTAGCAAATCATCGTCCGCCTTCGAGGAAGATGAGCTGGCCATCGCGTCGATGCCGGTGACGCGATGGAGGCGCGGTCGTAGAGAGGCGGTGCAAAGTCGGCAGTGTCGAGGCGGCGGCCGGTGGCGGTGCTCCCCATCGCTGGCAGCACCCCCTCTCTAGATCGGCTTAGGGTTAGGATGTAGGTGGGGTTGTGGCGGCGTAGGTGAATCTCGTGCCTTGTGCCTCGGCCCCACCTTCTTTTTATGGCGCTGTACGACGGGGGCCCACCAACCATGGAACGATTATGCGCCCTCGATCAGGCGCGGATCAAGGGCTCAATTGACCGTTGAGCCAAGTTGGTGGAGATCAACCTAAAAGGACATACTCCAACAATCTGCCGATCTGCATGGCCGGTCGTTCTCACTGCAGGAATTTGTTGCGGGGTTCGACAAGGATGTTCTTGACGCGTGTTGTGGAGGGCTAGGGAGCTACGATGACTCCAGCCGGGTGATCGCTTGCGGCGATCCAGGCGCAGTCACGTGCGAGAATCCATCTGCTCGTCTCTTCTGGGATGGCTCCGGCCACCTAACGGAGGCGGCGAACCAGTACATCGCCGACGAGTGGCTCAACAGTATATGCCATGTTCGTTTGTGCTTATTTGACTGATAAGCCATGGCTGAAAATACTGTTGGCTGGTTTAGTTTGAGAGAAAAATACTCTTCATTGGCTGATAAGCCATGACTTATAGGCCCTGTTTGTTTCAGCTTTTCTGAGTCTCGCTTATAAGCTGAGCAGGCTTATCTGATAAGTCACGATCTGGAGAATCTGCTGTCTGAATAAGCTGGGCGTTTGGCTGTCCTGATTATTCCTGGTAGATTATCTGTTCTGGATGTAAATTGACATATGTACCCCTGAGGCTGATGATACCTCTTTTGATTCATCACAATGATCGAAAGACAATGGTGTGAATATTTTTAAAGTTTGAGATAGCAATATGGTTCCATTAAATTGCAATGTACAATAATAGTCGTAAATAACATCCATTTGGGTATTGTAATTGCTACAAAATACTCAAGTTTCTAACAATGAATCACCTAACCAACGCATTAGCAATAGCATCACGGAAAGCACACATATTCATATCATCCGCCGAACCAGCACCATCAGCTGAAGGAACTTGGGACCCAACACCACTACTGTCTTCCACATAGGTTTTAAAATGTTCATCATATATAGCATTGTCTCTAATAAAATTATGAAGAGCCATGCAAGCAACGATAATCTTTGATTGCTTCTCAATTGGATAGTTAGGTAACTGCAAGAGAGTGCGCCATGTCATCTTGAGAACTCCAAATGACCGCTCAATCACATTTCGGAGGGATGCATGAGCATAGTTGAACACCTCCTTCGATCCCACTGCATGACGACCATGTTGCCATTCGGGCACATGATACCTTTGTCCCTTGTAAGATCATGAAAGAAAAAAAAAACAGCAGTGTCACCAATTGTACCGAGCCACATATTCGAGAACAAGTGGAGCTCAAGACCCATTCAAAAGTAGACCGAGTCACCAATTCTCTTTGAGCAGAAGCACTTAAACTTAAAGTTGACGTAAATTTATGAAATGTCATGTAAGATCATGCCACAAATTCCTTAACATACATCATTCAAGATATGGCAAGCAACAAAAAAAAGCAACCCTTAAAGAGTATGCATGAAAATGCCTTTGACACCATTGGAGCATGTTAGATGTGATCTACATTGCCGAGTTAAATAAAGTCTCACATGGAGCACCTCATGCCCGATCTCGGATCTGCCAGATTAGAAGGAAAACAACAACAGATGACTTTTTAATTAAAGGAATCAAATGATTCTCGCACTTGAGCCAATGATTCCACCCTTTTGAGAAATGCTAAGTTACCGGTGCAAGGAAAGAATTTGAAGCAAAGCTAGCTTCTAAACTTTTCCTCTTGGTCCTCCAAAGACTGATCGCTAGCACTAGCACATGGATGGGCCTTGGCAAAGGATTCCCTTTGCCCCAGTTTGATCCAAAATCAACGATCTGAAGCCAATCTTGTTGCGAAAGGATACACCTTTTCCTAATTAAAATCACCTTACTTATCCACTCAACAATGTACTAAGAACTAAGCGTCGACTCTTTGCTGGGCCTTAGGCAAGGAATCATGTGTACACATGTGAGATTAGCAATTGACACGAAGAACGAAATGGATCTTCATTGCTTCCCGAGGCATGTGTGTCCTAAACTACACGCAAATGATAACTTGTATGAAGAATAAACAGGCCAAGCTAATGCTTTATTAGATCGAACTGCTTGGCTATCTTCATCAGATAAAGCCTAAAACTAGATACTAATTCATAACCACAAGCGCCTAAACTTCGATCGAGCGGCAAAATTTCCACGGAAAGGATCAATTACAGTGCGCCCATGCGAGATCCCTAGCCCGACTGTTCCCAATTCCACCGGAAAATTCGGGAACTCAAGTCAAGCGCGCAAGGCGTGGTTGTCATCCCTCAAGTGTGTGACACCACACAAGCAACCAATGAAACAAATACCAATCACAAGGGGAACACCCAAATTTTTCATCGATGGCAAGCCGGTTCCTCGCCCACCCATGGCCAAAAACACGGCGAGAATCCCAAACGAAGAGCCTTATCCCAACATTCCAGCAGGACCCCAGTACCAAACCGAACCGCCGAATTCATCATAAGCATGGTATGGCAGGGAGGCAAACCAGAGGCGCCCGGATCGTAGTAGGGCCCATACCTAGACCGAGGCGAGCGGCGCAGACAGGCGCCAGAGATCCGGCGGTGGGCTAGAGGGAGGAGGCTGGTGACGACGGGTGGACAGACGGGCGGAGTGAGAGACGCAGACGATGGACGGACGCAACAGAGGGAAGAAAGGGAAGGACGCGATGCCGGCGCAGGCTCCGCTCCCTCGCAACACAGATCCGGCCAGCTCGAACCCCCTCCAAAGACCTCTACAGTTGGCGCGCGCTCGCGTGGAGAAGAAATGCATCGGTGCAGATGACTGGAAGAGGATTCGAGAAGAGGAGGAACGGAGGCGGCGAGCGCCTGTGTTGCTTCCGACACAATCGGCAACACGGAAGGGGAGCCAGAGCGGGAGGCACGCCTGGGTGGAGATCGAAGGAGGGAGGAGGGACGGCCACGGCCAAGACCGGGCCGGAAGCGGCGGCGGAGAAGGCGGAGGCGGCGCGGGAGGGAGCGAGCGGGGAGGGAGAGAGCACGGGACCGCTTCGGGTCGAGAGAGGGGGAGAGGAAAAGCCTGCGCGATTTGGGAAAAGCGGGGTTCGGCTCGCGATCTGGGAAGCGTTGTGGGCGACCGTCAGTCGCGGAAGCGCGTTCGCTGGTAGACTCGTAACGCAAAGCATTTGTGCGGGCTTTTCGACTTATCTTGCTCAGAAGCTGAGCAAACGCTCTCCTAAACAGGGTCATAAGTCATGACTTATAAGCCAAATACAACCCAACAAACAGGCTAATAATCTGGCCGCCGCCGCCAGCCTTGCTAGCCTATTATTAGGTGAAAACGGCTGGACGCTCCCATTATTTTTGATAGGGAGATCTACCAACCAACATTTGTTTAGTCTCGTCCTGTGGGGTCATCTGGGACCAAGGTGACATGTGTACAGTATCACTAGTTATTCGGAGGGTCTTCTGGCCAATTATTGTAGCCTAAAGGCTGGCTGCTTATGCAAATGCAGGAGACAAGCCGTTCTGTGTATTGCTTGTGCTACGAGATGGTTTTGATATTGCTAACCACGTGTTCCACGCTGTCTTTTGTGCTACGAGATGGTTTGAGTCACATTATTTGGTTCGGATAATCAATTTATTCTAGATGGAATGATGTATCATTAGTTTTCTCAAATTTTCAGGACTTCTGATTCTAACGTTATCTAATTACGGAGAGGAACGGAAAGAAATACTCTGTGTATGGTTACGTTCACACTGCCTAAGTGCCTATTCAGTGGTGATTCCTCCCCTTCCCGAGCGATATCGCGTTACCAGCCGCCGCGATTCGCTCCGCGTGCTTTGCAATAACGTTACCCTGCCAAACCAAACAAATAAAGTAATCACCGGTCCTATACCTACTCCTCCTACAATCTATTTTCCATGTCGTTTACATCATCAGGGATTGAACCGAACACCATCTTAGTGGAACGAACTCATTCCTAATACAAAACTAATTATTATCTCGAGAATAATGAGGTGGTAATGGATCTGACTCGTTCTATTCCACTGACCAAAAAAACTACAGTGAGATGATCATGGACCGTGCTACAGGGACTACTTGAATTTGTTATTTGGAAGAATGGCTAGGCAACTTTTGTGGAAGAGTGACTTGTCGTAAACGATCGTAAATTTCTAGTCGAAATAGTATTTTTCTTTCACACAAACCAACCAATAGTACTTTTTCACGAATCAGTGACGATACGAACCAGTCAACCGAGCAGGCTGTTGTGTGTGCTTGATATGGTCCCGGATGCAAATGATATGGAAGGCTATGATGCAAATGATATGGAAGGTTATCAGCCTGTTCGGGAGGCCGTATCGTATCGTGGATTATTTACTGCTAGCTGGTTTGATGTGAGAGAAAAACGCTGTTTCTGACTAAAAATTTATGATCGTTTACGAGCAAACGAACAGGGTGATGCAGACACCGTTGACCACAGTGACAGCAACATCACACCACGCCACCGCGCCGCCACCGTTGACCACAGTGACAGCAACATCACACCACGCCACCGCGCCGCCTCCACCTTCTTATCCGGCGGGCCGCTGGGCGGCGGGCAGATCGAGCAAGCGACATGGGCGATTTGTTGCAGCGCGCTGCCGTCGCGCTCCTCCTGCTCCAGCTCCAGCCACTCCTTCTCTTGTCTTCGTCGCCAAAGCCTGTTGCCGCCGCGCGCCCCTCCCTCGGCGCCGTCGGGCGGCGCTACGACTCCATCTTCAGCTTCGGCGACTCCTACACCGACACCGGCAACAACCCCGTGGCCTTCGCATGGTACGACGTCGCCGACCCCGTGATGCGCCCGCCCTACGGCTCCACCTTCTTCGGCCGCCCCACTGGACGCAACTGCGACGGCCGCCTCGTCATCGACTTCATCGGTGCGTGCGTGCTCCGCGCGCGGTCATGTCTACTCTGCACATCCTGTATGTGATTCGATGAGTGATGTATGCTCTGTTCTGTTGTAGCTGAACTCCTGGACCTGCCGCTGGTGCCTCCTTTCCTGGCGCACGGGCACGGCGACGGCAGCCTCCGCCGCGGCGCCAACTTCGCGGTCGGGAGCGCCACCGCCGTCGACGCGAGCTTCTTCCACCACGACGGGGAGGCCCTGTTCCCTATTAACGTGAGCCTCAGCGTGCAGCTGCAGTGGTTCGAGTCTCTCAAGCCCTCGCTCTGCGCCACGCCCAAAGGTGAATTGCCTCTCTCCTCTCCCTGAACCTGGTGGTGAACAGAGGAACTGATGGACGACGATCCGCCGCAGAGTGCCAGGAGTTGTTCGGCAGCTCGCTCTTCTTGGTGGGCGAGCTCGGGATCAACGACTACTCCTCTTCGTTGGCCAGATCGAAGAGCGTTCAGCTGGCCAGATCACTGGTTCAGGACGTCGTCGGGACCATCTCCATGGCCATCGAGGTAATCACCACTCCCTCCACTAGCCAACTACTTCACACACAGGACCACCATCACACTAACGCGCCATAAGTTGGTCACCAGAGGTTAATCGACCACGGGGCGACACGTTTGGTGGTTTCCGGGATGGTTCCGGCGGGATGCGTGCCGCCGTTCCTCGTCCTGTTCGACGGCGCCGACCCGGCAAGCTACGACCCCCGGACAGGGTGCCTCAAGGAGATGAACGAGCTGTCCATCCACCACAACACTCTGTTGCAGGAGTCCCTAGGGAAGATCAGAGCCAGGCACCCGGACGTCGAGGTCGCCTACGCCGATTTCTTCAGCCCCGTCATGGCGATGGTGGAGTCGCCGGGAAAGTATGGTCAGTATTCGCCGCAGCTATGCACAGTATGTGTAGGAGTGTGATTCGATCGAGCTTGCTTGGTGAATGATTGTATATTATATGCATGTGTTGCAGGATTCCTAGAGGATGTTCTTGCCGGCTGCTGTGGAGGGCCGGGGAGGTACCACTTCAACGCGGACATCTTTTGCGGCGATCCGGGCGCGGACACGTGCGAGGATCCATCTGCTCGTCTGTTCTGGGATGGCACCCACCTGACGGAGGCGGCGAACCGGTACATCGCCGACGAGTGGCTCAGCAGTATAATCTCGCCGGCGAGGGCTAGCAGCTACTAGTTGCGAACGTGTACGGTGAAAACGGCCTGGATGCTCCAAAGTTCGATCGGTTACGTCAAAAAAAAGGGTCAAACTTTTTTGACTCTTCATGAAAGTTATAAAATGACTTATAATTTGTGATGTACCAGAGCTGCAAACTTTCTCTTCGCCTGTTGTGAGAAGAAGGAGCAAGTGCAAGAGGGGTTACGTTGAATTTTCAGTTTCGGCATGTCTGCCTATTCTTCGAAAGTTCATTTTAGAGCATGATGCGTTCCAACGTGTCCGGGGAAGGGTCGACCACTTGGGTGTTTTATACCCAGCCTTTCATTGCATTTCTGCAGGAGGCTGTTTGACTAGGTACAAGGATATAAATTTGGTAACTTCTTCCCAGTAATCTCCTTCTGTGCCTGCCAAAGCCTCCACCAAAAGAACTCGGACTATTAGAACAGCTTGAACAATTTGCAATTCGAGCAAGAGCCTCCTCACTCCGCACAGTTTGGTCAGTTTTCAATGCCCTATATATATGCAGATCGCACCGAGTAGATGCCATTTCTTTCAGAAGCCCAGGCCAAACTACTGTGTATCACCCGGTTTAATTTTCAAAATCTCGTCTGCATCCATCTGAACAAAGGTGTCCGTTATGAGCAGCTCATTCCATACTCTCGTGCCTGGGACAAGACAAACAACTCATTCACCATAGTCACATTAGCTCCCGGGAGTCCAACTGGAGGGTTAAAATGCCTTGACTCCCGGAATCGAGTTGTCTTCCCAAATATTCAGAGTCACCACTCCCCAGTCGTTTGATCATCCCTCGATTATTGGGGCTGTGGGTTTCATGGATTAGAGGCTGGACATCATCGCTAGTGAGTAGAGACATAGTAGGTACCTGATGGGCATGGTTGGTCGAGAACTGTTAGGACCGGCGGTAAGACCTTTTATTAGTTGCATGCACCATGCATGTCGACTATAATGTTTTAAGGACCATACAGGTCCCAATCATTGTTCAGGAAAATTGTAGTTTCATTTCAAGCCCTACATTCTTACAGTAGTGATCATGGACAGGCTTGGGGAGATGCAATGGCAATACACCCTGATGGAAATGGTAATTGCCAATTTCAGAGACAGAGCGGCCAAGCAGGATGGCTCATCGGCACCTCCTCGAGGAGCTATGGCTCGAATTGAGTTGTTCCAGAAAGCTGGTGCATGCCTTCTGGACCACAAGCCTGAAGCTTCAAAATGCAAATCTTCAGGCAAGCCTCGGTGCTCCGTATCGTACATGAGACTAGTTGTTGCTTCCGGCACTCTTTCTGAATTACTGAATTTGCCACAAATCTTCGAAAAAGAAGATTTGTTTGTAAGTTGTATACGTCCCTTTTGATAAAGTTGTTTTTTGCGTGATAATACATAAGATTCATATCATAAATAATAAGCACATAACTGGTAGTGCGTGACTAGCCTAACTACATGAGTTTGCCCAGCAATAAAACCAAATAAAATTGAACAGAGGCGTAAACATGTTGAAAACTAAACATGTCGGGAATAAATCAAGTATAATGAACTTTAGGTAATGTTCCTTGCAAAGAAGAAATAAAACTTTGGGTCATATAACCAAGAGAATAATTATCATTGTAAACGTTAAACAGGGCCTAAAATGACAAATGCTATCCAGGTTCCACAACATACGAGCAAAGAAGTATCAAGTGAATTATAGTACATTCAGAGCAGAGCTGAATATATAAGATGCCAACTTGAAAACAACATATAAAACTCATGAATTAATCAGCAAGAAGAAAAAGAAAATAACATGACTTTTAAGTAATACAGAAATTTAGTTTGAACTTCAAAATATACTGCAACATATTAATCATTGGTGAAGTATTCCAATGGTCTGGTCCCATAAATCATAATCCTAAAGATTACACAGGTGCAGGATCGATGGGAAGATACCTAAATTGGGAAATTGGAATGAAATACCAATCCCAAATCCCAATGTGACACTGATCATCTGAGTTCATAACAGCAATGCGACACTGATCATCTGAGTTCATAACAGATAGCCCTAAGAAACAACCCATCTGAAATATTGACTTCTCGACTTCAAGGAAACAATATTAAGTACAGATAGGAAAGATATACCAAGAGAATGATATTAACATTATACAAGAGCCGGGTAGGTAAAGCAGACTCAACTTGTGAACTAATGAACTGGACCTAAAAGGTCATGACTTGTACAGTGGAGAAGTTCAGTTCAGAATTCGGGTAGTGTTTTGATAGCTAAAGGGTTTAACATTCATCTAGTCTAGAGGAAGAAATCAAAATCTCAAGCATGAGAATCTAACCTGTACTAGACATATCCTAAAGTAATCAACACCGATACAAATTTGCAAGGGGTGAACAAATCGGGAAGGAAATAGGACAAGAAACAAATATAACATCACCGATTCTACAGAATGCATAGCCAAGCAACTTCTCTAAATTTTTGTCTTCTTGTCTGTTTTCTCCCCCTCCGATGAGCGAGAATGGGTATCGACTTGTGACTAGGCTTTGTTGATCGAGGACTGATGATCGCTGTTGTTTGTACTTGTACCTTCCCGTGATGCCAGACGGCAATGACCATGGAGGCGAGGCAAAAGGCCTCAGCTAGCTTTGAGGGTGAGGGACCCTGAGGTAATCAAGGTAGTAGAAGCCGTCCTCCTCCCGCAGGCGGCCCTCCCCGACGAGGGCGCCGGTGCCCCGGTCCCTGACGTCACAGGCCTCGCAGCCGAAGGTGACGGCGAGGCCCAGCCGCGTGAGCTGGCGCACGGACACGACGACGACGGCGCGCTCCCCCCGCCCCAGCCCGGGGACCTGGTAGACCTGATGCACGAGGAACCGCGGCGTGGCCACGGACCCGACGGCGACGGCGTCCAGGACCTCGCCGCCGCGCGTGCGGAACGACCCGCTTCCTTCCGGCGCGGGCCTCGTCGTCGGCCCGGAGAGCAGCTCCGCGCAGCCCGTGGCGTGCATGGCGGCGCCGGAGTCGAGGATGACCTCGGGCGGCGACGACCTCGCGTCGACCCCGCTTCGTCGATGGAGATGCAGGGGATGCAATCGAGTCAGTTTTCTCAGACTGATGCCTGGATTTAGGAAGGAATCGGGGGAAAGCGGGAGAAAGGGGATGAGGGGTCGTGCGCCGGGGAGTACCTGGAGGGAGGGGCATCGACGACCGGCGACGGCGCCGTGGAGGGCTGCGGCATGAGGTCACAGGTGAGGGGGTCGAGTCGAAGACGCACCACCGGCGAAGACGACGGCGGCATTCGAGTCTCCTGTTCTCTCTCTCGTTCGATGCTTGCGCGGGGGCATTCCAGTAACTATACCACCTGCGTGTCTTGCTCTGCGGGGCCACACCGAGTTTGACTGTTGACCTTCTCTTTCTCTTCACATGGTACTCCCTCCATTGCTTAAAAAACATCGTTTCGATAGTGATATGGTCTTTTAACTTCTTATTTTATAAAAATATTTATCAAAAATAATATATATATATATATATATTTATAAAAATATTTTTTAAGATAAATCTATTTACACGGCTCTAGTACTTTCAAACTCAACAGCTTATTTTTTTAGTACGGAGGGGAGGGAGTACCTGCTCTGCTGACTGCTCTTCTCTTCTCTGCTCTGCTTGCACCTTTCTTCGGTGGAAAATTGGAAGAAGGGGACAAGAGGAAGAAGAGGAGCGAACCCTAGAGCGCCGCCGTCTCCGGGCACACCCTCGCGGCGGCGGACCCTCCGCTCAAGCGTCGCGCCATGGTTCAGCTCCGCAAGTACAGGTTCGTTTTTACCCAGATCATCTTTTCTTCGTCTAGAAAAGAAACTAGGGGAAATATTGTTGTTGATAGCAGCATCTCTGGGGAAAGGGGACTCCATAACGTCTTCCTGATCAGCCTTCACCACCGTCTATATCCGTTTCAGGACCATGACAAGCAAGGATGGATTGGAAGATGAGGGGGACTGGTCGCTGTCGCTGTCGGGGATGCACATGTTCCAGAGGTTTGAACCAGACGATCCCTCTCCCTCCCTCCGTTCCAGCGGTTAGCAGAGCGGGATTAGCCCTGTCCCATGCAGGCCTTGCTTAGATATTGTCGGATTCATCTTAATCCATATGTGTTGGAGTGGATTGGAATGTAATTTAGTTCAAATTCCACTTCTATCCACACGTGGATTGACGTCAATCCGACTACGTCCAAACAAGGCCGCATGGATCGGGAGGGAAAGATGAACTCGCTTCAGTGAGTTCCACGAGTTAGATCGTCAAACCCTTGAAAATTTATCATCGAAATAAGTTAACTCTATGCATTGCGTATCATTAGTCCATTTGGTGGCCCAATCCTTAACGTTCAGTTCAACATTCTTTTCTTTTCTTTTCCTTCTGTTATTATATATATATTGTTGGCAAGGCAAACAATAGATGCTGATAAACTTACCAAGTGACGTGTGTTATATATACAAGGGGTAGGCTCAGGCTGTGAACATCGAGTGCTGCATCAGTAATTTGCACTATCCTTGAAGCTGCCGCTCCAATTTTTAATATATGTACAAGATACATGATAGAAAATCAAAAGCTAATCCAAATTAATAGTGATGGTCAATGATTCACAGGCGCAACCAATGTATTGAATACTGATGAGAGTATAAATTATCAGTTGTGCAATACTTGAAAAGTAACTATGTAGGCCTATATGGGGTCAAATGCATACTGCTAATGTAAAGGCTAGATGGTTATGAGAATAGAGAACGTGCAGTCGATCCCACAATATCCATCTTTGCTCTTAAATCATATCCGAAGAATTCGAGGCTCAAGATGCTTGTTACCAATAAGTCAGGGAAGGAGCAGAAATCCATTGCATTACATTAGCTGCACATCATAGACTAATCAATTCACTAGCAAACGGGTTTTCAAATCTTAGACTTTGCTTAATCGAAATTCAAATGATATTCTGTCAATTTGATCTTTTTTTTACTTCAGTCCGTGTAGATGTAGGCTTTGTTGTTGTTGTTGTTGTTGTTGTTCCGTGTAGATGCGATGTATATTCTCAAAGGTATTTAAAGTATCTTACTTTTTCAGAAGATTTTTCAATGTATTCTGCGTGGTCTGTTCACTTGACATCCATCTTAGGTACAAATACTTCCTTTCTTGTAGAAGAATAAGACTGCTCTTGTTATGGATTCAGTTTTTACACTTTCTGTTATCTGTAGGCATGATCATGCAAATTTGAACTCCAAAAGCAATGATGAATAATGAAAAACACTTTGTATGCGACCATCTTTGGAATTGGCTGAACTTAGTAGTTGGTTCCAAATAGCCAAATAGTCATTATTTATGATGTACCCTGCTATCCTGTGCAGTTATTTTAGTTAAAACCAAAATTTAGCAATTAGATTCTGTTATGACTCCAAGAAGGAGGATTACAGCGAACTAATTAATATCAAGATTAGAAAAGTAAAGCGTCATTTGGAAGTCGCATCAAGGCCCCAGCGCCTACTGCACCTCTCCTGAAATTTTGACCTTTTACAATAAAGTTACTAAAGATCCACAACTATCTGTTTGGTGCATGTTTTATTGTACTCCGAGTGCAACGGCTGACAGAAAAAAAAAAAGCATGCTGGCATGCCTAAACTGATCTGCCAGTGCATTTTGTAGAACTAGCTGATAACTAGTCAAATACTCAAATTCACAGCTCGTCTTCAACCCTTGCTACAATTGTAACAGTGTTGTAAAAAGGAACTTGTTTGAATCGAGACTTGACAACATTTCTACTGATTATTAAGTCTAGTTTTTTTTTTCCATGGCCAGTGTGGACGGAGGAAGGCCTCTAAACTCCAGTGGTTCCATTGAAGAACGGGGTGACTCCAAAATTTTTGTGCTGTCCGAACAACCACCGCTGGCTCCCCTGGTGCTGGTTCTCTGGTTGGATTCAGGCGCCACCCACCATGCTGTGGGCGACGCTAGAATTCTTTGTAACCTTCGGGATCCACCTGCCGGAACAGCCGTCAGAGCAGCAGATGGCGTCCGGCTGCTCGTCCATAAGATTGGCGACATACATACACAGTACATCAAAATCCAAGATGTGTACCTCGTTCCTGGACTCCAGGAGAATCTCATAAGCGTTCGTCAGCTCGCGAAGCACAAAATAGTCACCACTTTCTATGAGAACTATGCGGAGCTGTGTCTCGAGGGGAAGCAGGTCGGTGGCGCAATTGCCGACAGTGTCACATCCCTCTACCGGCTACGCTACTTGACGACGCCGACGGGAGATCCTGAGGCTGGCACGAGGTACAGTACAGCATCCCTGATGCGGAAGTCTAGTTTTGACATTACAACATTTGATTTGATGGCAGCATGTCTCTGCGCACACGTTGATTATCAAGGTTTAACAACCATTAAGTGTCATCAATGTGCAGTAGGTACATACGCGAAGAAGCCATGGACGTGGCTACTGCAAGAGGGGCGACGAGCAAGAGCAGCTTCATGCAGCTCCTCTCCTGTCCACTTCGACGTCGAATATGAGCAAGCAGCCGCAGCGGTGCCTGAAGCAGCGGGACAATGTGTTCCAGTGCCGTACATGTGGCCGCTGCTTCACCACGTTCCAGGCGCTCGGTGGCCACCGGACCAGCCACACACGACGACACCGGGTGCATGCCGACGACCTAGACCTGCTTGGCGCGCGCTCTGGCAAAGGCGCTGCGCAGAGAGTCCACCGGAGCTACTTCACCGGCGAGGTGTTCCCAGCCGTGCAGGCGCTCTCTCGGCACAGGGCAGCATTCCATGTCGCCGATGGCGACAGCAGATGGCCTTTCAGTATCGCCGACTACAGAGATGGGCCCTGGCAGACTACAGCGAGACGAGCTTGGCTGACGGTGAGAGATGGCATTTCTCCGGCGACCACCAATGTGGTCCCTAGTGTCGAGAGAGGAGACAGAATAGTGCATCGGGTCACAAGCTACCCAGCATGTCCTATGTGCCTGTTGTACAAATAATTTTGTTGTTTGTCCTGTTATGTATTGAACTGGAACTGTCTTGTGAGTAGTGTTTCACCTACGCCTCGTACTAGTCATCTTCAATACTTCAACATCACTTCTCCGACTGATGCTGCCAAAAAGCAGGAAAAGAATCGAAGCCATGTCCCTTTTAACCGCCGATAAGAGACACCAAACTTTGTTGAAGCCGCAAGATCCACCGCCTTTGAACTCATTGCCAAGACGGTTTTAATTCTATGAACGAGAAACCTCCATCGGTAGGAATAAAGGAATATCCCATCTCACGAGCCCTTCGTAGTGGGCGGATCGAGCCACGACAAAAACTGCGCAAAAAACTCACGACCCCTGGTGCCTGAGCGGTTGACTAAAGTAAGCACACTTGAATGAAGTACTTGAGTAAAATAAAAGGTCTCTATATATATATATATATGTTCAAATAAGGAAAGTGGAGGTGCGAAAAGTGACCAACAAATAAATGTTTATAGTTTTGTCGTGCGTTGTGATCGGATGTGTCCTAGCACTCAATGACGCAGGATTTATACTGGTTCAAGCAACGTGCCCTACGTCCAGTCGGTCGGTGACTTTATTCCTGAGCCCAGGTGCTCGAAGTTTGCTGTGGGGTTACAAACGAGTAGGAATGACAAGGGGGTGTTAAAGGCCCGGTCGGACTCTGAACCGAAGCAGACGAGAGTGACGGGTGCTCTAACGTGCGCTAAGTATTGAAGCGTATACTCTGTGTAGCTGTTGGGTTCTAGAACCGTTGAGCTGTTCTAGTGCTTAGGTTCGCTAGAGCCAGAGAGAATGTCCCCCCGAGAGGAGAGAGCGCATCTCCTTTTATAGTTGAAGGGAGCCTTACAAGTCAGAGGAAGAGAGAATGGATACGTATGCTACCTAGTCTTGTTGCCCACATTGTCGGGTACGAGACGGCCATCGGCGTCCACAATATTGTTTATGTCAGACGCATTTGGCAGGCTCTACCGTGTTCGTCTGGTACAGCAAACGTCGGCGTCTACAATATTGTTTGTGCTCTGACACGCCTAGAAGGTTGCATAGTGCTCGTCTGGCATAGCCTGGTGTCACCGTCCTGAAGATGCGCAGGGCATGGCAGGGTACAGTCCTCGATATTGCGGTTGACTTTAGCGCCTTACCTTATCTGCTCTGCCTGATCCCTAGGCCCTCACCGAGCGGGCGTCCCCGATCGGTCGTTCCTAGTTGGCCCCGATCGCGTTGGTCGGGGAAGAACCGTGAGCAGAGGTCCGGCGTATTTCTGGTCGGAAAAGGAGGTCAGAGTCGGACCTCGCCCCTCCTTGGCCAGGGCTATCCGGTCGGGGACCAAATCGTTGTCCCGGCCTGTCATTATGTATATGGGCTGGCCCAGGAGGCGAGCGTTGTCTATGCCGTCTGTTGGACCGAGTTTTTGAAGGGAAGTGGGTCCATTGGGGACCCTAGGTTTATGAACCCGACAGGAGCCCCCGAGCCCTTTTGGGACTTCTGTGAAGTCGTGAAGGGGCTGTTTACACTCGTTTCACGAGCGCACCAGGTGGGTGTAAGATTGTGGGTCGCCGTCGGACCAGACTGAGCGCGAACCCGTGGCGCCGGGCGAGACAGAGCGCGAACCCAAGTGTCGGACGCCAACCCATGTCAGGCACGACCGAGGGGTCGGGCGAGACGAAGCATGAACCCAAGTGTCGGGCGTGGCCGAGGGGTCGGGAGTGTCGGGCGCCAACCCAAGTGTCGTGCGCGACCGAGGGGTCAGGCGAGACGAAGCGCCAACCCAAGTGTCGGGCGCCAACCCAAGTGTCAGATGCGGCCGAGGGGTCGGGCGAGACGGAGCGCCAACCCAAGTGTCGGGCGCGGTCAAGGGGTCGGGCGAGACGTAGCGCCAACCCAAGTGTCGAGCGCCAACCCAAGTGTTGGGCGCGGCCGAGGGGTCGGGCGAGATAGAGCGCCAACCCAAGTGTCGGGCTCCAACCTAAGTGTCGGCCGCGGGCGAGGGGTCAGGCAAGACGGAGCGCCAAACCAAGTGTCGGGCGTCAACCTAGGCTTCGGGCGTGCCTGAGGGGTCAGGCGAGATGAAGGTGGGCATAGCCCCCAAGCCTACAGCTGGCTGAAGAGTCGGTCGGAGGCTAAGCACCTTGGTACTCTTTTCTGGGGCTATGGACTCTTGTGTTCCTTCCTCTTGGGGTATTTTGCCCGTGTCTGTTCCGACCGCAACCTTGATGGCTCAAGTGGATTCCTAAGTCAGGGTCGGTTCACCCGAGCCCCCCGAGCCCCATTAGGCTCGACAAGGGTCGGTCACATTTCGTGCGTTACCCCGTCCGCGATTTCCACAACCAGATGGGTTGAGCTAACGTCGCTTGCCTCGATGGCTCGAGTGACGCGCTCGGTGAGCTTAATAACGGGCACGTCCGAGTGGAATCCAAGTCTGTTGTTCATAACGGGGTCGGCATAGCCCTCATGTGGTATTCCACTGCTCCTTAACCCGCCTCCCGTTAGATGCCCGGGTTGTTCTGGAGACCGACTCAGGTAGCCCGCTGGCCTCCCCTCGATGAAGATTTTGTGGGCATGGCTTGAGGTCAGGATCGAACGAGAAGGTCGAGATGACTCTGTCCGCTTCGGAACGGATCGGGCGAGGGCCGCTGAGGCTCATTTGTGTTTTCTCCCCTGGCTCTGTTTGACGTGAGGCGGCCTTAAGCCCTTTGCAGACCAGCCTTTGAACCTCGGTCGATCATCACTCATATTGAATGAGACGACTACCGCTTCGTGACGCAATACGAAGCATTATGATGCAACAATTGCATACGCAATGCTTGGATGTATGAGATGAATGTATGGATGAATGTATGAATGCATGTATGAGGATGGATTAATGAATGTTCATGCACTAGAAAAATAAAAGGGGGTTTGGTAAAGTTACCTCGATAGCTCGAGTGACGGGTTCAGGGAGCTCTTATCGGATATGTCCAAATGGAATCTGGGCCCGTCATTCATGACAGAGTCGGTATAGCCCGCATGGGGCATCCCACTGCTCCCTACCTGTCTCTCGGCAGCCGCCCAAGCTGTCCGATCGACTTGGGTGACCCGTTGACCTCTCCTCGATGGAGATTCCGTTGGTGGCCCCTTCCAAACCCTGCCTGGAAAGGTGGAGGGCCATTTGTGTGCAGTTGTGCCATGTTTCATGCGCCCGGGGTTGTGGTAGTGGTGGCCCTACCCAGGCCATGTCCCGTTAACCAGGTGACGTTTCGCCGGGTAGGGCGCGTCCCATCAGCCAGGGGCCACATCCCGCCGCACGCCTTCCCTCATTAAATAGGGGGAAGTGGGAGGGTTTTCCTCCAATTCTTTTGCCTTTCTTCAACCGTCGCCTCTTCTCCTTCCTCCTTTTCGCCAAGCCTATTCGTGTGCAGCGGTGGTTTCTAGGAGAGAGGAGGGCAAAGCGAGGGAGAGAAAAAACTCACAGATTCATCCATAAATCTGAGGTACGATGTCGAACTAGAGGCCTTCCAGCGTGGATGAAGAGGTGCTGGCCGCCTTTGCCGAGAAGAGGCTGTCCTATAGGTTACTGCCTATTGATTCTAAGTTTGGAATCTGATCCTTCCAATCTCAAGGTCATGTGGACATCCATAACCACTTTAGTTATTCTTGATTGTCACGATGTCCGAAGTTGGGTCCTTCGAGTGACAATTCCCTTTGCTGGTCGTTCGGTTGACTACGGTTGACCAGGAGGGTGAGAACTTACGGGGTAATGGAACTTGGGTCGTTACACAACATATGTCTGAAACTAATGAAACACGTAAAACATGCGCTTGAAACATGCGTGTATAGCCATAACATATATGCAACATCCAGATCTACGTTTGCAATATTCAGATAAAACACTTGCAACATAAGTCTAAAATATCTTAAACACAAACACTTGAAACATACGTGTATAGACATAACAACATATGCAACACCTAGATGAAACACTTGAAATATACGTCTAAAACATCTAAAACACTTGAAACATAGGTTTGCAACATACATATATTGTCACCACAACATATGCAACATCCTAGATCTACTTTTGCAACGTCCAGATGAAACACTTGAAATATAAGTCTGAAACGCCTGAAACACTTAAAACACAGTGTCGCCAGTGGCCACGGCCTACCTGGTGAGGAACCGCGGTAGCCAGCAAGCTCGGGTCAGGGGGACATCGCTTCGCTCGCTCGCGCCTGTTGGCGTGGCCCATTGCTCCTCCTGCTATTCTCCTAGGCCTCCTCGTGGCCCAGGCTAGCACCCATTGGCGCGTCCCCGCTGCTGCTACTCCAGCGCCGTCCGCTGCAGCGGAATCATCCCTGCTAGCGCGAGATGTAGGTGCATCAGCGGCGGCGGGAGTCGTTACTACCTGCTGGTGGTGGAGGAGGGATGCCGGTCGCCGGATCCGAATAGAGAAGAGAGAGGTAGTAGCAGTCGACGGAGATCAATCTGGCCAGCGTGAGTTGCAAGTCATGCGGCGGCGGCGGAGTCATTGCTTGGGACTTGGGAATGTCTTTTCGCCTCAGCATGTGCGTTGCGAGGTGGAGTGGGATTTTTTTTGTGAGAGGGAGGGCGGTCCGCTGCATAGGCCTGGGAGCCGCGTTTGGACGGACGGACGACCGTGGCGGAGCATTACCGTTTTGGAGGTCTGGTCGGATCAGGCTTGGGTACTCGATCGCTGGTCTCCACGCAGCAACGACTTTGGATGAGAGATGGGTTGGGCCGCCTGCTTCATATGGGCGCCTCTTGGAGGATGTTGTCTGGTTGGGCCGCGTGATCTAATTGGGCCTATTGGAGGACCTATTTGAAACTTGGAAGATTTTCTCATATCAAAAGAAAGTAGATACTGCTTCAACTACATGGACAATCCTGGACAAATACGTAATCCATAATGCTTCCAGCAAAAAGTACTTGCTGGTTTTGCACGGGCCTTTTGATGCATATATGTTTTTTGAGCATAAAATTTTTCAGATTTAAAAGGTTTTTATCCATATATTTTTAATGCATATAAGACTTATAAGTTTTGTTAGTTTTCATCCCCACCTAATTTGTCTTGGCGCAAGGATCTAATAGCCACAAAGCTAATAGCATAGAACACACATTGCTTCCACATATTTCTAACATTGTTCGTACTCATGAGCAAGATGAACTTTGCTCGAACTTAACAAAAAATGGCCAGTTCTTGGTTAAATCTCACTATCTTACTATGATCCTTTGTGATGTCCCAAACATTAACAAGTGACTATGGAAATTGAGAGCACCTTTAAAAATTAAAATCTTCCTTTTGGTACTTACATCAGGGTGTAATACTAATAAAGGATGATCTTGCTAAGCGCAGTTGGCAAGGTAGCAAGACATGCATGTTGCTTCTACCACAAGGATGAGACGATTAAACACTTGTTTTTTAATGTCAATTTGTAAAAATAATTTGGTTTATTATACATGTGGCTTCGGGACTTTTTCGACCCCATAGCGTACCACATATGTTTGGGAGTTAGTTACCGGAAATTGGAATAGACCTAAAAACACTATTTCTGCTAGGAGAGGCAGCAAGTTGTTGGTATTTGTGGCTATGCCGAAATGATATGGCGGTCTTTGATAAAAAAAATATCAATTCTCCGTTGTAGGTTATCTACATGATTATCCACTAGCTCCGTACTTGCGTTATTCTCCAGCAGTTGCATACATAGAATTTGGTCATAGCAGCATGACAACAACTAGAGTGCGTGTGCGAGCAATATTTTTTTATCCAAGCACATGGATGGCGGTCTAGTCTATGGATTTATATATAGTCGCTAGGGTGTTTGTATCTGTCTAGAAAATAACTAGACCGTGTGCTTTCATGCAGAGGTTAGAAGTGATCTCGAAGTGGTTGTATCGATTTGATGTAATTATCTCGAGTCAATAAAATATTTCCTCAATAAAAAAGATTTTTCTCATATAACTTTCATGTTTTTAAACAAATATTATAAAATTTATTTGGTATACATATTCTATAAGTAGACTAGCTAGCTAGGAGGAGCACGTTCGAAAGACATGGAGCAAGGGAATACTACTATTATACATCGCACATGCTACCGTACCAGAAGTTATCTTGTCGTACCTCTAACATTTTTCATTGCTGCTTTTCTAGGGGAACATTTTTTTTCTTCTATTCTTTTGGAACAATATATAGATGTTTGAGGAGTAGAAAATATTTCTACGAAACTTAGCAGATGAAATATTGTAGCAAAAAAATAAAATAATCGAAGAGGGCGTGCAACATCCCACATGCACTAGAAAGCAACGCGCGGCGTTGCCACGCGGCTTACATGGAGTGCTGCCATTATTGTGAATCTGGTTTTAATGATGTCTAATACAATACAATGTGGCTCAATGTCACCTATCACTACTTGTTGGTGCTCATGATAAGTATTTGAGAATCTAAGGTGTTACGAGTAAGTGACATCATAAATCGTATAATAGCAAGCATAGCATGATGGCATGGTCTATCTACTTCAACGAAAAAGAAAGTCGACATTGTTGAAATTCAGCCGATCAATGACAGTTGCTGCTAGAGCCAGAGCCGCAGCCTCAGCCATGAGCACTGAATTTGAGCCTGTCATGAGCGCCTTGATGTAGATAGTTTGCGGAGGCTGCATCTGATTGTTGATAATGAAGACGCCAATTCCAGCCTTTCTCGATGGAATTGAAGGATGATCAGGCAAAGTGGATGCATCAGCATAGCATATGATGCCTTGAAGCAGTGGATCGTGTACCTGTCCATCGAAATGGCAGTGCATCCTGCAGCTGAATTGTTTATACCTGATGATCCAGTGTCATCGGTGGATGGCCTGCAGTGCATAGTTTGTCAATGTTACGTGAGTATCTTCCTGCTCGTTGTTGAGTTGCCAGAGCCCTTCGAATGAGCCTCCAGGTGAAAGTCTTAATAAGAGGAGGAATCTCTTTTAGTTTCCACATCCTACGGAGGATGTGATTGGCTTGAGGAAGAATGCTCATGAGCCTTGTTGAGGCAGCTGGACCTGCATCTGTGCCCTTAAATGCCTGTAAATATTTTTAGTTGTGCAATCGCCCTTTTTTGCGGAATCCATGTAAGAATATCTTGCTGGTCACTATGCACAGAATTAACCTGAGAGATGATCTGGGCTCCTTGCGGATCGAAAATGTTATTATATCTGTTTGAGGTCAAACAGAGTTTTTTTTCTTCAACACCTTGCTCCATGTAGTCTTCGTTTTGGAGTTCCAGTTTTGAACTGGTGTCACCTAAGATGGCAATCTGTTGGGAAGTTATAATAATTAACGAAACATGAATATTTTCAGCATGACATAATTGCATTCCGTTTCAGCAGGTAAATCATGGGTGATTACAATAAGGAGTAATCAGAGGCTGGCAAGGCAAACTCGAAGACTATACTGCAATGCATGGGACTGATAAAACAGATCACCTTCGTTTCAGGGTGCTGAACCTGATGTTTCAGTTTTGTGCTGTAAAGACGTACCAAATTAAACAGGTCAAGTAACTATATAAATAGCATGAGCTCTACTACAGCACGGTCATTATCTAGAATGGATTATATATTGAGCATTTCAGCTGAATTATGTTGTCGCAATCCCACAGACAAGTAGTACACATGAAACTGAAACTGAAACTAAATTAAATTAACCCATTCAGGCTCACATAGAAGTTTAGCTAAATTCAAATGATTGGAAATAAGTGATCCCAGATTACATGAAAGCTATTGCTGAAATTGCATACCTTTTTTTTACTCTTTAGCCTTGACTTATTTGGGATCAGTTCTTCGTGATGATTCCTGAAAATACATGGTAAATTTCTATTGGAATAAGTAGTACTGAAATTGAAGCAATGCAAATTGACATAGCACCACATATAGTAATCTGTGTGGGGGCACTCATGAATGAGCATAGTTTGGGGATCGAATACAAGGCCCTTTTGCTTCATGTGCAGGAGTATCACAGTGTCTACCTATTCTTTTGCTGCTACGACAAGAGGATGAACAGTACAAGCTAATAAGAGCTTGCACATTGGTACTAATCCATGCAGAGGAGCCGGCGCCGCGTCTGGATGTCGCAGCGTCTGGAGCCCGCTGCCGCGCTGGGAGCCCCCGCGTCGCCTGGAGCCCGCTGCCTTGCTAGCTCGCTGGTTGCAGGGATATGCGCCGGTGGCCTGCCGCGCAAGGGACCTGAGCCGGTGGCTTGCGCGTCGCCGCTCGCGCCGGCGACCCGAGGCCGGCCGCACCCACACCTCGGCCGGGAGGCGCCGCGCCGAGGGCACGCCGCCACCGCCGGGCCCCACTCGCGCCGGCGCAGCGCCTGCAGGGGCGCCGTCGCCTGGCACGCGCCGCCGCGTCAGGAGGGAAGGGGAGAGAGAGAGAGAGAGAGAGGAAGGGGAGGGCGAGATGGAGGTGAGAGGCAGGAGAGGGAGAGCAGAGTTCGAGGGCTTTTTTGAAAAAAATCCTGAGAGAGACCTGGACTTCGGGTTGATTCGACTAAAGCTCGAGTGCTTTTTTGCAAAAAGACCACGGCTCGCCCGATCTGGGACGTCCGCGCGCTCGATCGAATGGCCGAGAAAAGCAGGCGACGTGGCCACTCTCGCCGGCCAGCTTTTGGACCCAGGATTCATATAAGAAGATACGCATGAGGAGGACCTCTGCTTAGAGTATTATGAGCATTGCGCCCTGAACTCTTCTTGTTTCACAGTTCCACAAGCATGCCCAGTTAGCACAAGAGTGCTGAGAAAATTCCTTTTTTCCTTAAAAATAATGTTTTCCCATCACAAACAAACATTGCCCACACTTCCTATGTCGCTATGTCGTTGGCAGCCAAGAAGTACTGCCAACAACACCAAACCAACAAGGAGCGTTACTGCCCGCAGCAGCAACAAACTTTTATGCATGCTTGCGGTGGCTTTCACCGCTCAGTAGCACGGGGACTCCTTGGGCACAGTTGCAGCCGCCGTCCGGTTCCGGTTGGCAGCGGCACCACCGCCTTTTCGTCCCGGCGGCGACGTTATGGCGCTCAGCCAGCCGGCGGCGATGTACCGGTAGGCCGCCTCCGTCAGGTGGACGCCGTCCCAGAACAACCGAGCCGACGGGTCCTTGCACTCATTCGCGCCAGGGTCGCCGCAGAAAACGTGCCTGTTGTAGTTGAACCGCCCGGGTCCTCCGCAGCAAAGCGTCAGGCCTTCGTCAAACCCTGCAAACCACCACGCACGCATGCAGATGCAGCTTCAGTTTCTGCAACCGCAGCTAGCGCGCCACGTTTCATGGCCATGGATGGGTGATGTGCTCATGGCACGCAAGAACTGTGTGCTCTGCTCACCGAACTTGGCAGGCGACGTCACCATGTCCATGACGGGGCCGAAGAAGTCGCCGTAGACGACGGCGGAGACGCGGTGGCGGTGCCGGGCCCAGAGCTCGCGCAGAGCATCCTGGAGCAGCGCGTTGTGGTGTGCGACCACCTCGTTGATCGCCTTCAGGCACCCCGTCCGTGGGTCGTAGCCTGCCGGGTCGGGGTCGGCGAAAGTGGTGAGCACCGGCGGCGTGCACCCCACCGGAATCACGCCGGGGACCACCACGGTTGTCGCCCCGTGCTCCACGATCAGCCTCTGTAACCAACTCATCATCACGCGTCACCACTCACCAATGCCGTTCTTGCAGGTCGTTAATGGACACATGGAGTTCTTGTTACCTCGACGGCCATGGAGATGGTCCCGACGACGCCTGGGACGAGCGACCTGACTTGTTCGAGGCTCATCGCGGCCATGGCGAGGAGGTAGTCGTTGGCGCCGAACAACTTGTTGCAGTCTGCACGTGTCAGATGCATGCATGAGTCCCTCTGTTCGTTGTCAAGAATTCGACCGGGGCATCAATCAAATGGACATGCCTTTGGGCGTGGCGCAGAGCGAGGGCTTGAGCGACTGGAACCACTGCAGTTGCACGCCCAAGCTGATGTTGAGTGGGAACACACTGCCGCCGGGGGGATCCCAGCGGTGGAAGAAGCTGGCGTCGAGGGCGGTGGCGCCCCCGACGGCGAAGTTGGCGCCGCGGCCGAAGCTCCTTGCCCCCTGGCGCGCCTGCAGGAAAGGCGGGACGAGCGGCAGGCCCAGGCTCTCAGCTGCGACGTCCGACGGTGCGAGTGCGGCCAGAGAGCGATCAGCTATATACATTTGCGTTGATGGCCTGCAAGATCGACTCCGGGGGCGGGGCGGGCACGCACCGAGGAAGTCGATGACGAGGCGGCCGTCGCAGTTGCGTCCAGTGGGGCGGCCGAAGAAGGTGGAGCCGTAGGGCGGGCGCATCACGGGGCTGGTGATGGCGTGCCAGCCGAACACGACGGGGCCGTTGCCGGTGTCCGCGTACGAGTCGCCCAGGCTGAAGATGGAGTCGTAGCGCCGACGCACGCGGAAAGTGGTGGTGCTGGATGAGGATGACGCGGGCACTGGCGCCGACGATGACAAGACTAGGACGACGAGCAGCCAGACGGCGCACGGCGGCACGAGCTGCTTCCGAGGCATCTTGCTCGCTGCCCCTTCCGGCCGTCGTGCGCGTCACTGCTCAGCAGCACAGACGACAGGTGGGTGGCGATGGCCGATGGCGACGCGCAACGCAATGCATCAAATATAGTGGACGGCTGTGGGGCGTGGCATGGCAGCTGAGCTCAACAGTTAGCACGCATGGCTGGCGCACCTGTCGTGTTCCAGCAGTGCAGCCATCCGTTTCGGGGGTTCTGGAGCGCGGCTGGTGGACCGTGTGTGCCCGTTTCTGGCTACTAAGGTCTACGACGGATTGAGATAGGATCGATAAGTGCAGTGGTCAGTGGACGTCCGTAGTATCAGACTTCCTCCGCCTCTAATACGTCCTGTCACGTACTACGCCCACCCATGGAGCACACTACAGCAGTGATTTTTAGGTGCGGCTGGTGACCGCGGTTTTGCCAGCTGTCTCTCACAGAGGGTGGCTACGAATGCTATATTTGTAGGGGCAGTTAGTCAGCCACCACTATAAATCGGTTTTATAGGCGATTGAATATTTGTAGGAACGACCGGATATAGAGCCGTTTCTAGAAATTATTTTCTAGAAATTCGTGAATCCATGCCAAAAAATATGATTTTTTTTTTAATTCAGGGAGGCCCCACCGGTCAGCCACATGTAAAATCGCGCGCTACGTGGCTGCGAGGTTCAAACCCGTGACCTCGGGCTCACACGCTCCCTCCTCTGACCACTCCACCCAATACTTACTTGTGTTAATATTGTATTTTGATTCCTCATATATTATCCTAAACCGAGCATAAATTGATTGTTTGAGGCCCTCAACGAAATCAAATGAAAAATTTGTCAACCACAAAGTTTTCTAACGTTTTGAGATCTACAACTTTTATTTTGATAGTTTCTCCATCCGAGATCGTTTACAAAATTTGAATTTCAAATTTGATAAATTCAAACGTAGTTTTACATGACAGGATGATTTCAAATGAAAAAGTTGTCTGCTACAAAGTTTCATAACTTTTCGAGATCTGCAACTTTTGTTTCTGCTATTTGTCCATCTGAGGTTGTTTAAAAAATTCAAATTTCAATTTTTTGAAAATTCAAACGTAGTTTTCCTTAACAAGATGGTTTCAAATAAAAAAGTTGTCACCTACAAAGTTTCTTAACTTTTTGGGATCTACAACTTTCATTGTGGTAGTTTCTCCATCTGAGGTCGTTTACAAAATTTGAATTTTAAATTTGAGAAATTCAAACGAAGTTTTTCTTGACAAGATGATTTCAAATTAAAAAGTTACCAACTACAAAGTTTTATAACTTTATGAGATCTACAACTTTTATTTTAGTTATTTATTCATCCAACATAGTGGTAGTAACTTTATTCACAAATGTTACATATCCCTCTTATAGATATGTAAATTTTGTGAACAATGTTACTACCACTTTATCGAATGAAAAAATGATCAAAATAAAAGTTGTATATCTTGATGAGTTCTACAACTTTTATGTTCATTACTTTTTTAGCTGAAATCGTTTAGTATTCTAAAATAACGTTTGAAGTTGCCATTTTTGAAATTCAAAATTCAAATATATAAAACACAGTCACATAAAAGATGGATAAAATAATAGTTGTAAGAACATAATAAATTGATAGAGCATGATTTTAGAAATTTTAGGGAAAAAATCATCAAATTTGAAGTTAGTACAAGGGAGAAAGACTAGTTACAAGTTTTAGCCAGAGATTAAAAAGAAAAATCGAGAGTTCTTCGATAATTTTAAAATTAAATTTCAAACAGTATTTTGAAGCAATAAATGATTTCAAATAAAAAAGTTATAAACAACATAGTTCCATAATTTTTCGAGATCTACAACTTTTATTTTGGTCATTTCTCCATCTGAGGTCGTTTGAAAAAAAATCAAATTTTAGTGCTTAATTTGTATTATTTGGCGTGTATTTGTACAAATTTGATTTGTACGGGGACGGCTGGATATAGAGCCGCCCCTATAAATCAGGCCATTTGTCGGGGAGCTCATAACACTAGCAGCCCCTACAAATAGATTTGTAGAGGCGGCTCACTTGGCCACCATTTATAGAGGCGGATCAATATAGAGTCCAAAAAAAAAAAAAAAAAGGGGCGTTACTGGACATCGTTTTTGTATTAGTGGAGCTTCCTTGATCCACATGGTTTAATTTTACCAACTGATGAAGTGGTGATGTGCACGCAAAATGTTGCCAACACGTGAAAGCATTGCCACATGTGGCCGATGCCGTGTCGGCGTCTAGAACATATACGGGTATGTAGGTTCCATGAACGAGCACGCGTGAAAGGTAGACGATGCACGGATTTTTCAATGCTGATTCCAGAACTCTCGCTTCACGCTAGGAGCATCTTCAAAAGTCTCCACAACCAACTTCCAATCTTGATTTTTTAGCAAGATTGAAAAAACTCTTCTTCAACAACTTCTTAATACCTCAACTCTTAATCTTCTGCATTTGGGAAAATTAACTGAATCGCGTGGAAAGATACATGTGCGTATCCAGATCTGCAGGTGAAAAGATGTAGGAAAGAATAAGGAGAAATGATGAGGTTCCCAATACAAACATACGTGAGAAAGAAAGTATAAAGTGGCTCGGAAGATTTAAAAATAGTCTAGAATTCCTAATGCAAAATTACTTATAGCTTTTAGGAGCAAGATACTATTGGAAATGGTCAGAGAAATCCTACAAATATAAGAGCATCTCTAAGAATACCTAATAATCCTTCCCAATCCTTATTTTTTAGGAAGAATGGAAAAATATGTCTCAAACAACTCCTAAAATGACCTCCTAATCTTTTTAGCACTTGGGAAAAAAGGCCCGATGCGTGTAAAGATACGCGAGACGGCCCGTCGCGCGTATCCGCCCTCCCCGTCACGAGCTCCTTTTGCGCTGTCATTTTCTCCCATGGTCTCCACATGGGAAAGGAAAGGAGGAAATACAGGGTTCTAAGTGAGAAAATCACAAGAGAGAAAGATCTTGTGGGAGGGCTTAAATGGATATAGAAATAAATTTTGGATTCCTAATGCAAAACATCACAACTCCTAGACCGACCTTTTGATTTTTTGAAGTGGAATATTAGAAACTTTTGGAGATGACCGTCTTGATTCCTCCTAATACTTTTTTAGAAGTTGAAAAACATCATGGTTTTAGGGAGAAAAAATAGGGTACTCTTAGAGATACTCTAATCTCTACTTCTTTTAGCGACTTGACAAAACTTATTAATTTATCAACTATCGATTATCGTTAAAGAAAGCCTACAAATATGCTCTCTACTTTTTTTTAGCATCTTGAAAAATCTATTGATTTACCAATGTTTCCAAAAAAGCAATTGGTAAATTAATGATTTTTTCAAGTTGCAAAAAAAAGTTAGAAGAATATTTGTTGGCTTCCTTTAACGATTTCTAAAATCTTACTCCTAAAAGAAGGCAATTTGGTACCATGAATCATAGAATATTCCTAAATTATTAAATTATTTTTATACTTTTTTTCTTTTATATATTTATATTAATAACCTTGTCCTTAGTCCTTATTCTTCGCTACATCCTTTTATTTTTAGATTGTCCGATTGATACTCGCGGAAAAATTAGGAGCGCCAAAAGAATCAAGAACAAAAATAAGTTTAGAAAACTATCGTTGATGCTCTAGCGCATGCATAAACGGACTAGTATTTACAATTCCACTTCTTTCCGTAGAGTCCGATATTCAGCACTGTTGGCCTCAACTGACTTCACCAGTTCACGTTCACCGCCTCTTTTTTGTCCCGTTCCACAACTGCGCGACCGCCGCTGTCCTACGCCAGGTGCCTAGGCCTTCGTCGGTCCCGTCGCCAGGTCCTCGTCGGGTCCTTCGCCGGCGAGGAGCACCTACCAGGTATGCGCACCCCTTCTCACTCCTTCGTGCTGTGCGAAACCGAGCTCCTGATCGATTAACTTAAGCTATTTCGCTATTTGTATTCGGATCTGATGTAATTTTTACAAGTCTATATACATTCTACTAACTTCGATTTTCTTGCAAAAAAAATATTGCGTCTACAGAGTACACCCATGTCCTGCCTCTGTAGCGAGAGCAGTAAAATGTCGATTTCTTCATCAAAGGAGATTATTTTTTCCATTTCTTGACAGGACAACGTGGTTCTCTTTTATAACAAGCATATGAAGGAGGCGTTGTTATCTTGTAGCCTTTTCTTGCGGGGGATTTTGTCCCCTTTGTCCTTTTGCCCCTTTATTAGTAGTTTATTAGTTCATCTATGTTTTTTTTTTCTGTTCAGCAACATGAATCTGGCTTAAGTACTGCAGATTTGATTATCAGACGCAAAGAGATTACAAACTTTGTATAAAGTGTTTTCGGCGTGGTCCCATCTCCCCCTTCTGTATATTGCGTTATTTATCCTTAAGTCTGATGTGGTCATATTCTTTCTGTCAGGCTTGCAAGAAGCAAGGATTCGCCCCTCAGGATGCAACCTGCATGATGAATTAGACACGGGCCATGTCAGCGGATCCAAACACCTCTGGCATCAGGCCTCCGTTCCTGAGTACCGGGGTGCCCAACTATGGCTGTCACAATCCTGCTGGTACAGCTGCCGCTGGCAACACCAGCCCGGTCATCTCAACATGCTCCGCACCTGTCCTGAATCCCAGGCAGGAGACTCCACAAGCTCTGGTGGGTCCAATAAGCTGTGCAGCTGAACAAGAAGACACCCCCGGCTTCCAAACATTATGGAATACGGTTCCGGAGCATATGGTGAGGCCTACGCTTATTCCTATCCCATTGACGCATAGGCGGTTCACTGAAGATCAAAGGGGGGTTTGAGGCCGCCGTTTCCACCAGTTCATAGTTTTATGGCGCTCCCTGTCTTGCCTGATGTTTCAGAGGGTAAGCGTGTGCTGATCTTATTTTTCTTTCTATTCTATGTGTCATGTTAGTACCAGTTTTGAGTTGCTCTATTATAGTGCACTGAAGGCTCTTTGTTTGCTGTTGCCCTATATATTCCAAAGAAGGAGCTCCCATTCGGCTTGCTGGGAGTAATTTGTTGTCACTTGGAAGATCATCAAACATATTTGAAGGTGATATGATAACGAATTCTTCACAGCTAGTCACTCCAGATAAATATAACTTATCAGATCATCTTCAGCCTGGTTTATATGATGAAGCGTCCAAGACTGAAAATGGAACAGAAACTACACACCATGACACTGTTTGGCACCAAATTATTTTGGACCCAGGGTGTTTGGATACATAGATAATTGATGACTTGTTACCAGACCCAGCAAAGCAGAGCAGATAAAGAGTTCACGTTCAACACTCGACGTACGGCTCAATACCTTGCTACCTACGTACCTGCTAGTTACCGTGATTGGCCGTCGTTGTCAACGAGTAAGGCGGTCAGCCTTGCACGGTGATGAGCAAGCTGGAGTCCTAGTCGCCATGCGATGTCGCAATCTTGGCATGTGGCCGCGTGTCTTTCCCACCGTCGTCGTCTTCGCTCACAACAAGGTGGCTCCCGGGTGCAACAACTCCGGCGAGCACCTCAGAGAACGCCGCAGCCGGTGTGGTCTCGTACCACCACCACTCGAGGCACACGCTGGCACAGCTCTCGGCTGCGAGTGAGCAAGGCCTACGCGCGCTGCGCGCTGCGCGCTGCAGTCCTGCAGCCCAGCGTCGCGCCCCGCCTCGCTCGCCTGCGCGCCCAGCCAACACAGCCACGCACCGCTGCCGCCCTAGCCTTTCTCGCGCCGCCACCGTCTGCTCGCCATAGCGCCGCCCTTGCGCGGGTTCCTGCGAGCTGGCCGCCGCGCGGGCCCAGCGCGTCACCACACGCCGCCTCCGTCTGGTCGGAGCCTCCACCCACCCCTCGGTCGACCATGCGCACAGCTCTCTGCTCATGGCCGGTAGTGAGGCGAGGGAAGCGAGGCGGGGCGGAGGGGTGCGGCCATGCAGGCGGAGGGGCACGCACGCGCAGCAGGCACAAGGGGCGCCGCGCGCGGCAGGCGAGCACCCCCGCGCGGACTTGGGAGAGAGAAAAGCCCGGTCAATGCGTCAACAAAGTGCCTCCTACTTGTTGCCTACCACGGGGGCATTTTGGACATTCCAACTGGCCGGACCCGCATGTCAGGGCTGCAAAACCGTGAAAAGTCAACGAAATGGAGACGGAATGGCGTGAAGGGCAAATAAGTTTGGAGCAGTGGCACCTGTGACTGATCGAAATTTTTAATGTCTCGTAGACAATTGCAAACTTTTATAATGATACACATGTAAAACTCTTTAATTTTTTAGCTAAACCTTCAACTAGTTGTTAGCTAACTCTAGCTAATTTGGGCTAATTTTTAGCTCAAGCTAGTAGCTAGCTCTAGCTGATCCAAATATGCCCTATATCAGTTACGATACCTGCATTTCATGAGGAGAAGTTTTCTTTTTTATGTGGAAACTAATACATTTATGGATCCTACATTTATTCATTTGCAGATACCACAGTCTGAAGCCCTCTGCCGCACCATAAAGTAATTTCCCTGCTCTGATTGCACCATCTATAAACCCAAAACTTTCATGTACCAATGCTAATGTGTTGTGTTTCTGTTTCATGCACGTTCACTGTCCACTGCCCCAGTGCGGGAGAGAGACGCCTGTGGGAGTACTGCGACAAGCTGGATGGGAACAAGGTCAGGTGCAGGTTCTGTCATAAGGTTCTCAACGGCGGCATCAGCAGGCTCAAGTTCCACCTGTCCCAGATCCCCAGCAAAGGGGTGAACCCTTGCACCAAGGTGAAGGAAGACGTCATTGACAAGGTGAAGGCCATCATCTCGGCCAAGGAAGAGTACAAGGAGTTCCAGCTTCTCAAGTGGCAGCGGGTAGCCGAACTGTCGGTGGCCCCGAAAAGGGCGCCGGAGGCTCCGTCCCTTTCTACTTCTCCGGGGCGAGTGAGCTCTCCTGCTGTTTCTCTTGCTGCTGAGCAGAGTCGGCTTCTTGCCCCGGAAGTGCCTGCTCCGGTACCGAAACTATCTGGTGCTGCAAACAAATCACGCGCCGCCACTTCAGAATTGGAGGCAGAACGGTGTATAGCTGAGTTCTTTTTCGAGAATAAGTTGGACTATAACATAGCTGACTCAGTCTCATACCAGCAAATGCTTGAGGCACTTGGTGGTCCGGGATTCCGAGGGCCGCCAGCAGATGTTCTGAGAGACAAGTGGTTGCAGAGGCTCAAGTCCGAGATTTTGCAGAAAACAAAAGAGATTGAAAAGGATTGGGTGACAACTGGTTGTACTATATTGGCTGATTCATGGACTGATAACAAGTTGAAAGCCCTAATCAACTTCTCCGTGGCGTCTCCTATGGGAACATTCTTCCTCAAAACAGCGGATGCCTCTTCGCACTTCAAAACTCACAGAGGCTTGTATGATCTCTTTGACGAGGTGATTCAGGAAGTTGGCCCAGAGAATGTTGTTCAGATAATTGCAGACAGAAACATAAACTACGGCAGTATAGATAAGCTGATCATGCAGAACTACAACACCATCTTTTGGTCCCCCTTGTTAGTTGATCTCCACCAATAGGCCCAACGGTCTATTGGGCCCTATCTCTGCTCCCTGATCGGGGGAGCCCAACCCTAACTCGGTTGGAGGGCCCCTGTCGCACGGCACACATAAAAGGAATGTGGGGGTGAGGGCTCGGACTACGAGGTTGACTGGAGCCGCCACACCCACCGAAAGAGAAACCCTAATCCGATCCTAAAGCGTCTTTGCCAATGACGGATGTGCTCGCCACCACCACCGCTGCGCCGTCTGCAGAGGTCACTTGGCGTTCACTGGACTTCTCTCCACCGCTACTGGACTACTTTCTACTACCGCCATGACCTTTGGCGTCTACGTTCTTTGTGCCACAAGGAGAAACGTAAAGGAGCTTACCCAATCCTACGGTTACAGAGGTACACACCATTTCGATCCTAACAATGGTATCAGAGCAAGGTTACCTATGTGTATCCCTAACCCTAACCGGGTAAAAGCAAAGAAAAGAGACCGGGGGTGGTGGATTTCACTGGAACCCGGTCACCACCGCTACCGCGCGGGAAAAGTGCCGCACTGACACGGCAAGAAAGACCAGATCCGTGTTCGGATCAGTGAAGATGAACAAAGAAGGGGAAGGGAAGAAATTCGGAAAGAAAAGCAATTGGTTCAACCGAAAAGGAAAAAAGAACGGTTTCGGATTAACCCTAATCCGAAAAGAAAAGAAAAATCCAAAGAAGAGAAAAAGAAGGGTCGGAACCCTAACCTAACCCTATTTTCCCATTCGGATGAACTCGAAAAGAAAAGGAAGAAGAACAGGGTGGAATCGAACCCTAACCCTAGATCCCGATTCGATTCGGATGAACTCCAAAGGAAAAACCGAATCGATTGAATCAAAAGAAAGAAAAGAAATAAAAAAAGCAGAATTTAACCCTAGATACATTCGGATGTCAAAGAAAAGAAAGGAAAAACAGAAAAGAAAGGGGAAAAAGAACAGGGTGGGCAGACGAACCCTAAACCTAACCCTAGAACGGATCCACCCTCGCTTGCAGTAGCAGGAAAAGAAAGCCATGACGGCCTTTCGCGGCCTGCTGGAGAAGAAAGCCGCCGAACAACGGTCTGCTGCTGCTCGCCGGGCTCAACAAAGGTCATCATGCCAAAGCTGCTCGGCAATGGCGCTCTCACCATTGGGGGAGCGCGACGCAGCGCAAGCGGGGGCGCGGCGGTGCCATGGATGCCCGCCTCGCTCCACCACTCGCTCTCGTCTGCTCGGTTCCGATCGCTGGTGAGAAGAGAGCAAGGAGAGAGAGAGAGAGAGCGGTGAGAGAGAGCGAAAGAGAGAAGGGCAAGTGCCGAATGAGACTAGGGTTTTGGCGCGACCGCGGCCGGAATTGGGTTTTATTAGGTCGAAACAATCGGACGGCCGTCGGATCGAGATCAACGGCGCCGGATGCATGGGCTCATGGAAATGCCCAAAGGGGGAGGCCTTGTGACTTTTTGTTGCCCAGCCCAGTTGCGGCTCTGGGCGCGGCATCTTGTGTATGTGAGAGAGGCGGCGGAAAGGTAGCCTGCGGTTTTTGGGCTGCCGAGAGTAAAGAGTGAGCCCGATTTTTTTTTTCTTTTCCTAGAAAATTGAAAAATGCAAATTGGCTCAAAAGAAAAATAGAAAAAGTATTTTTTACCTGTGGGTAAAATTCAAGAAATTGATGTAAAGTTTTCTGCTGATAAAGAAAAAGTATATTCTCCAGTTAATTTGTACCAATGTGGTATTTAACTGGAGAAAGAAAAAGATTTTCGAGAAAATGTTTATTTCGGAAATTGATTAATGGATTAAAGAAAATAGAAAAAGAAATTTTCCTGTGGGTAAAATTAAAAGAAAAGAGAGTTTTCCACAGTCAAAGAAATTGTTTAAATCTCCGGTTAATTTGTACCAACGTGGTATTTAATTGGAGAAAAAAAAGAAAGTTATTCATTGCTAAAGAAATTGTTGATTCTCCAGTTATTTTGAACCAATGTGGTATTTAATTGGAGAAAAGAGTTTTGATATGATTATGATGTTGTTATTTTCTTGACCAAGCGTTGTTAATAACAATATCGTAATGTTAATGTTTTATGCATTAATTCTACTTTCGCCCATAGCGGTGATGTAGAATTAGTGTATAAGAAAAATTTATTAATTTTAATGAATTAAGCATTAATTCTACTTACGCCCAACGGTGATGTAGAATTAGTGTGTAAGAACGATTGTGAAAGTTAAAGACTTATGCATTAATTCTATTTACGCTTAGCGGTGATGTAGAATTAGTGTATAAGAATAATTGTATGTTTTGATTTTGACCAACGTTGGAATCAAGGCATGCAAATGATGTTATTTTATGATTAAGAAAAGTTTTGACCTGGTTTTCATCTTGTTTAAGGTGAACTAGGTAGTCACCTCACCGTGTTCCACTGAGTTTGTGGCACCGGTGAGGAAGACAAAAGATGCCACTTGGGCAACTAAAGAAAGGGATTTTAAATCCTGAAAGATCTTCATAGGAAGTGGGTCACTTTGCAAACAAGAAAATGTTTGGTTGTGATAAAGAACATGATTGAACCTACAATTGTGGGCTCAATATAAAAAATGTGACACAGTCACCAAGTATCTCGATAGAATAAAGAGTGAGTTCCTTTGGCACTTCAAAGACATATGCTACTCGGTGATAAAGCATTTGGTGACATGAGTGTTACTCACGAAAATGGTGGCATAAGAGAGCTCACGATGCGTTGTCGAAATTATGGCACTATCGTTCAGGCCATATTTCGAGGGGGAGAATAGAAAGACTCGTTAAGAATGATATTCTTCCTCTATTAGAGCTCTCAGATTTAGAACAATGCAGAGAATGCATAAAAGAAAAGTATGTAAAGAAGATTAAGAAAGATGCTAAATGAAGCGCAGGAATTTTACAGATTATTCACACTGACATATGTGGTCAGATTTCCTGTAAAGAGTGTGGATGGTTATGATCCATTCACAGATGTTTACTCCCATTATGACGATATTTATCCAATCAAAGAAAGAAAAGATGTATTGGATAAATTTAAGATATTAAAGATTAAGATAGTCAGGTCTGACCGTAGGGGAGTACTACGGTCAGCATACCCTAAAAGAATGGCAAAGTAGCCCAGTATTCTACACCGGGCGAACCTCAGCAAAATAGAATAGCTAAAAGAATCAATCGTACCCTGATGGATATGGTGGGCAGTATGATAAGTTACTCCACCTTACAGTTGAACCTGTGAATGGAGGCGTTAAAAACCTCATTCATATTCTCAAAAGAGTATCAAGTAAGTCGGTGCTCAAAACACCGTATGAGTTGTGGACAGAAAGAATACCCTCACTTAACCACTTGCGTGTGTGTGGGGGAGCCCTGCTGAGGCTAAAGTGTTTAACCCAAACATTGGGAAGTTATATCCCAAAACAGTAAGTTGCTATTTTATTGGCTACACAGAAAAGTCAAAAGGTTTTCGTTTCTACTGTCCAGAGAGATATACAAAGTTTGTGGAAACGAGACATGCTGTCTTCCTAGAGGACGAATTGATGAGGGGGAGCATGGTAGCTCGAGAAATTGACCTTGAAGTGAAGCGGGTGTAAGCGCCCACTCCAATGATTAATGAGCCAATTTTCTCACTACCTGTTGTAGCTGCACCAACAGTGCTAGATACTATGGTGCCAGCACCTGTTGTTATTTCACCTGTGGCAACAATGAATGAAAATGAGGAACCTGTTCTTCAGGATTCTATAGAACCTATTGCCACACATGAGGGGGAGCAACAACAGCCTCAAACAAAAGTTGTGCCAAATGTGGAGGCCCCTAGAAGGTCTCAAAGAGTTAGAAAATCAGTTATTCCTGCTGATTATGAAGTGTACAACACTGAGGAATTTCAAATGGAGGATGATCCCACCTCATTTGAAGAAGCCATGAGAAGTGATCATTCATCAAAGTGGCTTGAGGCTATGGAAGATGAAATGAAAACAATGAATGTCAATAAAGTTTGGGATTTGGAAATAATTCCTAAAGGAGTCAAAACAGTAGGCTGTAAATGGGTCTACAGAACAAAACTTGGCTCTCAAAGGAATATAGAGAAATATAAAGCGCGACTTGTGGCGAAAGGCTATATGCAAAGAGAAGGAATTGATTACAATGAGACCTTTTCTCCAGTCTCATGTAAAGTTTCCTTCAGAATCATAATGGTATTAGTGGCACATTACGATTGAAAATTACATCAGATGGATGTAAAGACGGCATTTCTCAACGGAGACTTGAAGGAAAATGTTTACATGGCACAACCGAAAGGTTTTGTCATGGAAGGAAAAGAACGAATGGGATGCCGCTTAAAGAAATCTATTTATAGATTAAAGCAAGCTTCAAGACGGTGGTACTTGAAGTTTGATCAGTCAATAAAGAATTTTGGGTTTTAAAAGAGAATGTAGAGGACAATTGTGTCTATACAAAGTTTAAGAATGGGAAATTTATCTTCCTTGTCCTGTATGTAGATGATATCTTACTTGCTAGTAGTGATGTCAGTCTACTACTGGAGACAAAGAAATTTGATATAAAAGATCTTGGCGAAGCCTCGTTCGTTCTAGGGATCGAGATTCACCAAGATAAAAGAAAAGGGTATAAGGACTGTCACAAAAGGCATACATGAAAAAGATCTTAAAGAAATTCAGTATGCACAAATGTAGTCCCTCACCTGCTCCTATAGTCAAGGGCGACAGATGTGGGGATTTTCAATGCCCCAGGAACCAATATGAGCTCAATCGATAAAGTGAAAGTGGTTCCATATGCTTCAGCTGTCGGAAGCTTACAACATGCTCAAGTATGAACACGCCCTGACTTGACATTTGTTACCGGGTTTTACTTGGCAGATTCCAGAGGAACTCTGGAATAGAACATTGAAATTGATAAAGAAAGTCTTGCGTTATTTGCAAGGAACGAAATGCCTCATGATGACATATAGAAGATCTGATTCACTCCACATGGTGGGATATTCAGATTCTGATTATGCGAGAGTGAATGCATATCCAGACGTGGATTTTCTATCATCTCGCAAAGGGAGCTATTTCATGGAAAAGCTCAAAGCAAAACTGTCACTACATCGTCCACAATGTATGACGGTTTGTAGCGTGTTATGAGGCAACAGGCAGGTGAACTAACTAACGAAGTTCATACCCGGTTTAAAGGTGGTTGACGACATCTATAGACCACTTAAAGTATCTGCGATGATAATCTGGCAAGATAAAGTATGCTCTCACAACATAAGTCAAGTGGTGCTGCCAAACACATTGACATAAAGTATTATGTTGTGAAAGATTAAGTCCGGGATCAAGTCATAAGTCTTGAGCATATAAGAACAGAAAGGATGTTCAGCGGATCCGCTTACAAAAGGCTTACCACCCAACATGTTCGGAGAGGACATGGTGTTCAGAGAACATGTAGCTAGCTTGGGTTTAAGGGAAAGCCTAAAATATTCTGGACAAAAGAAGGCCCAAAGATAAGTATCTATTTTGAACAGTAGTAGTGAGTTGTAGGCATTAAGTCTATATATCGGCAATGGACCGTGACGATGAGACATGCTCTATGAGCTAATCTGTAATGGAATGAGCAAAAGCAAATGATATGAAAAGTGAAAGATGGAATGAGATCAAGGGGGAGAATGTTAGTTGATCTCCACTAATAGGCCCAACGGCCTATTGGGCCCTATCTCTGCTCCCTGATCGGGGGAGCCCAACCCTAACTCGGTTGGAGGGCCCCTGTCGCACGGCACACATAAAAGGAATGTGGGGGTGAGGGCTCGGACTACGAGGTTGACTGGAGCCGCCACACCCACCGAAAGAGAAACCCTAATCCGATCCTAAAGCGTGCTGCCAGCGACGGGATGTGCTCGCCACCACCACTGCCGTCGTCTGCAGGGTCACCGCCGGCGTTCACTGGACTTCTCTCCACCGCGCTGGACTACTTCTACTACACCGCGGCACTGGCGTCTACGTTGCTGTGCCACAAGGAGAAACGTAAAGGAGCTTACCCAATCCTACGGTTACAGAGGTACACACCATTTCGATCCTAACACCCCTGTGCTTGTTTGTTCAGGGATCACAAAGTCTGTATCAGATTTTCTCACACTGAAATCCTTGTTGAAGCACAGGTCAAAGCTGAAGCAAATGTTTCATAGCACTGAATATTCATCTTCGTCATATGCAAGTAGGTCAATTCCGTGTGTTGAGATACTCAACGATGATGAGCTTTGGAGAGCAGTCGAAGAGATAGTTGCTGTTTCTGAACCTTTACTGAGGGTCATGAGGGATGTTTCAGGAGGCAAACCGGCCATTGGTTATATATATGAGTCTATGACAAAAGTGACGGGCTCTATTAGGACATACTACATAATGGATGAAGGGAAATGTAAGTCATTTCTGGACATAGTGGAGCAGAAATGGCAGACAGAATTGCATTCACCTCTTCATTCAGCAGCCGCTTTTCTGAGCCCAAGCATCCAGTATAACCCAGAAATAAAATTTTTCAGTACTATCAAGGAGGAGTTCTACCTGGTTCTGGATAAGGTTCTTACAACCCCTGACCTAAGGCATGATATCACTGCACAATTGCATGCTTTCCGCAAGGCACAAGGGATGTTTGGATCTAACATTGCTAAAGAGGCCCGCAACAATACCTCACCAGGTATGCATCATGTCTTTTTTTTGCTAACATGGCTTTGCACGTATTTCATTAAGAGGATGCATCATGTATCATGTCTTATGTCAGCTTATAATATTCTTGAATGCCACAACATTGTTCTAATATTATTGAATTGCTTTTCTGTATTCACTTTGCTATTTTTAACAAAACATCAGTAAAGTTGTTTTGGGGTACCCAGTATTATTTTTAATGAAACTTGGGGTATCCAGTATTACTAGCTTTTACATTGTTAATATGTCATATACTGTTAATTTGCAGTCAAAATATTTGATGTTATATGTGAACTTTTCTCTTGGTAACTCCACAAAGTGGCTAAGTGGCGTGGTACTTTGAGGTCATTGTCCATCTCACTGTTGCATTTTTTTTGTAGCCCGTGAATATTACCTTTGAACTTTGATGCACTAATCCAGGTTGAAGATATTTCAGATAAACTTATCATCGTTTAGGCACTCTTGTATTTCTGTTTCTCTCAGTGTATTTTTATGGCTCTTGTGCTCAGGCATGTGGTGGGAACAATACGGCGATTCAGCACCATCACTGCAACGTGCTGCTGTGAGAATAACCAGCCAGGTTTGCAGCACCCTATCTTTCCAGAGAGACTGGGGTTTGATCCTTCAGAACCACTATGAAAAGCGCCACAAGCTTGACAAGGAGGCTTTGGCTGACCAAGCCTATGTGCACTACAATCTCACGCTGCACTCCGAGCCAAAGGCTAAGAAGAAGCTGGATGCGGATCCAATCGCGCTGGATACAATCGACATGACGTCGGCATGGGTGGAGGACTCTGATGGCCCCATCCTCACCCAGTGGCTCGACAGGTTCCCGTCCGCCTTGGATGGCGGAGACTTGAACACGAGGCAGTTCGGTGGATCCATCTTTGGCACCAACGACAATCTGTTCGGCCTGTGATAGCTTCCGGTTCCAGGTCTGACACCGTGCCTGTTGTTTCTGTTGTATAATTGCTCATGTATGTAGCCATGTACTGTAGGTCTTTGGTAGTTCAATCTCTGCTAGTATAGATCCTAGAATCTAGATTGATGACAGGGGAAGAACTGCATGTTGCTCATATTTAGTCTTAGGGGGGCATGTGCCTGTTCACATTTTGTCGTAATTAACATGAGAGCCATAAAGCTGCTGAAAATATGTTAGCATCGTTCCTTCTGCAGATTCTGGCCTTCTGGGTAGCCATGTACGTGGAACATGCTTTTGATAGTATTGTCAACATCTTAAAATATGGTAGTCATTTCCTGTCTCGATTACTGACACCTGTGTGAGTGATCACAGGATATTTTGCAGCGTTTCTATCTTCTTGAATGTGTTTACCTGGTGCTTTGGTGACTGACTTGGTGTACATAGCTGACACATGGGGCCATTCTACAGGATTGCCTCGCAAAGAGGATAACGTAGGCCAGCCACAATTATTAAAAAAACAACAAGAAGAAGATAATCATGCACTTATCAGTCATCACTGTCAGCACTAACTCCGGGAAGAAATGTCCACCCACTTTGATCTTATCCATTTCCCTGTGGCATAAAAGGAGACAAACCCATCGCCTTCTTTGCAAAGTAAATATAAACTGCAGACCATATCAAGTTACTGTGGAGAGATATCAGCTAGGACAAGACCTCTTCAGACCTCAAGGGAGATAAGCAAATGGAGGGGAAGAGCAGGCTGCCGGAGGTGACCATCGTCCCGGTGGAAAGGCCGTTGGCTGGCGATGGCACCGTCGACGCGGCGAAGGCGGCGGGCAAGGAGCCCATCAGCCCGGGCACTCCGTCCTCGGTGGAGGGCGGCCGCCGCGGCAAAGAGAGGCGCGCGGTGGAGGTCGTGCCCCTGCCCGGGTGGAAGCTCGACGCCCTCTGCCAGGAGTCCTGCCCGTCGCCGACCATGAGGGCGCGCTTCCCCTACTTCTGAAGCTTCTCGTTGCAAGACTGCATGAGTTTGGAGCGGCAACATCCGGTGCTCTGACTGATGCGTTCTTGGGTGTTTTGCTTGCTCAGGATTTTCTTTCGTGCATGTACATGCATGCATATTATGTATTATGACTTTATGAGTATAAAGATCTGTGAGCTTTGTGTATATGGTCAGATTGCACAGCACAAATGATGAACTATCAGTTAATTGTTTCTTGCCCTGTGCGGAAGAACTGTTGACTGATTTGTTGTGAGAGAAAAATATTATTTGTTGGCTGAAAAAGTATGGCTTATAAGCCAAGCGAACATGACATCTATCGTTGTATCTAACATAATTTGAGCACACTGTATCTATCACGAAATATTTGCCATATACAACCACCGGCATATCACGCACAATACAGCACAAGAGCTTGAGATTGTACAAGTAGGAAGCGTTTAGTGTAGGAATTCAGAACTTGGAGCCAAGCTTAAGTTAATTAATACAAACATTACACAACTATAACACGTCCCTATATTGCGAGTTATATGAATAAGGTTTTTTTTCTCTCGATCGGGTGTTCAGCCCGTTTTATATGAATAAGGGTTAAACATATGTTTGGCAAAACCAGTACGTTTGGTTGAAGGAGACATAATCATTTCTCTTTTCTATTTGGTTGGAGCGATGAAGTCAAATGTGATAGACAGATAGGTAGAGTTTCTTAGGCTATCTCAACAACAACACCCAAAATACAAGACATATTCGTCCTTTGGGTAGCGCTACAGACAAAAGGTTCAATACCTATTCGGCATCTTCTTCAATAACAAGACCTAAAAGAGAATCATTTCTGCAAATATGTTTCTAGGAGAGAGGATGTCCATATTTAGGTTGTGTCTCACAAACAACTTAAAATAGGTCTTCCGTATAAGTAGTCTGTTAAAAACTGATTTTAAATCAATTACTACTCGTTTTATATTTGGGTGTCCATATGAGTTCCGAGACCGTCTTAGCACCGTTATCTATTGTCGCCGTGGCTCCACCTGTCGCGCATCCTCACCAGGCCGCGCCCACCCGCTCGATACTCATCAGACCGCACCGCTCCCCTCTCCGGCGCCGCCCACGCCTTGAGGCTTTTACCTGTGTACCCTTAAAAAAGATGTCACACTCCTGCGTACCCCTCAAAAGTTGGTCGTCACCTTCATGCCCTCGCTCGAACTTTTCTTTTCCCTCACGCCATTCCGTCGGCATTTGCTCCTAACGGTGGGTAACGGCTCTGGAGAATGACTCAGTTACCCTTGAGCTTGTATGGGCGTCTGAACTTTTTCGTTTCCCCTGTGCCATTGCCAGGCCAATTGGGACCTCCGACGAAGCATCCGAAGGACCAGTTGCCGCTGTACACTGGCTGGCAGGTGGGCCCGGACTTCCGTCGGTGCCCTGGCTGACGTCTGCGGTTGGGATTATTTCTTGTCATCTTTTTGCATTTGCATTAGCATAACTACAGCAACCTCAAATCAAAATGAAACTCGATCGACGATGTACGCACGCCTTCACATCCCACTCGAGTGCCATTTTTCTGCAGATTAATTATTTTTCTAGATATATGTACGGCATGGAGTACATACGTACTAATAATGTAGATTATACGGCCGGGAGTAATATTCTTACTACTGGTTTTGGTTTTGGGTAATCATTTTCCAAGAATCTTGAGGAGTCAGAACATTGACCAAAATTATAGAGATGAATTATAAAGATTAATAACATCAAATAAGTATACTTAGTTGGTATCATACATATTATTATTTCATCGTATAATTTTCGGTCAAATTTGAGATTATTTGACTCTCGAAGGTTTTCGGAACGACGTATAGTTTGAGACAGAGGAAGTATGTATCCTGTTGAGTTGTCTGCCTCCATCAGCGATGCAAAGACCGTACTCGATCCGGACAGTTGTCTCGTGGCAGATTTTACACACACACACACACACATATATATATATAAAAGTTACAAGGTCGATGGTGGTAGCATGCGTGGCAAGCAAGGTCACGGCCGGGGCGCTAGCGTAGTAGCTAGCTAGTGTGAACAGCCGTCGTCGTGCACGTCGATCTAGTTTTGTGCTGCGTGCATATGCATTTGCATGCTAGCGTGATCTTAATTGTTGTTGCCTCGCATGCATGCACATGGTATCGGTACGGTACGTACGCGAAGGCGAAGCATGGGCATGTTTGGATTATATTTATTTATTATATATATACACCAAATTTTGCATGCATGTGTTACCCTTTGAAATTTTGAAAACGAGGAAAGGCGAAGCATGGGCATATGTGTTGTGCTTTGCCCGAACTGCAATGATCCAACTATCAGTGAGAGGATGAGATGGGGGAGACAGCGGAAGCACATAAACATGCTCAAATATGTACAGACGTACGCGCGCTAACGGATACTCCTTGCCCGTCTCTGTCTTGCTCGCGACTAGTCATTCAGTTCTGTTGCTGCCATGCCCCTGCCGCAGGCGCGAGCAGCAACTCACACAGTCACACGAGAGACGAGACACCAGCAGCTAGCATGCATGCAAGCCGAGACAGAGAGACAGAGACGACGAAACAACAGTGCGCGTGAACAAGCGACAAAACTAACCCGGCCAACTAGCCGTACGCCCCTCTCCCGCCCCTCTGCGGCTCGCGCACGTCACCCCCCGGTCGCGTCGATCGGCGTCGGTCCGCGCGCGCCCGGATACGCGAGCTAGGCTGCACGCGCCACGCGCGCATGGCGCACTGCATGCATGGACCGGACCGGACCGGACGCGCGCACGTACGTGCAGGCGAGGAGCCTGGCCTGCAACGGACCATGCATTGGACGCATGCATGCAGCACGTACGCACGCACCCATCGACCGACAATGCACAAGATCGAGCAAGCACGACAGGTACACGTACGCTGCTGTACATGTGCGTGACCAGTGTCGTGTCGTGACGTGTTATTGGATGGTGGAGACGTGCATGCATGGCCCCTGCAGTTCATTTCTTGAAAATATGTCAGTGATCCAGAGGGTAAGGAGGGTATTTTTCTAGCCCGGTCCCACATGTCAGAGCCGTCAAACGGCTAAAACCTAACAGAATGCCAACGGAATGGCGTGAGGGAAAAGAAAAGTTCGAGCGAGGGCATGTAGGTGACAACCAACTTTTGAGGGGTACGCAGGAGTGTGACATCTTTTTTAAGGGTACACAGGTAAAAGCCTCCCACGCCTTCTGTGTCCTATCATGGGAGAGGATATGTCTGTTTCTTTGGGCCGAAACTGTTTTAGGTGCCAGCCCATTAATGCTGGGCTCCTATTTCTGGTCCAAGTTCAGGTCCATTAGTCCAAGCTCGTGTACGCGTCGGATATTACCGAGAAACCAGAAAAAGAAAATCTCACGGGCTCCAAACAAAACCTCTTCTTCTCCGTCAGATAAAAACGAATCGGCACGACGCATCGCCTCCTCTTGAGATCAACAAAACCCACCACCGCTGCGGCGACTCCGCCTCCCGCCGACCCGGAGAACACGCGGAGCAGCGGAAGGGGCGCAGGGGGTTGCCCGCGAAGATGGAGGACGTGGACGTGTCGCGGCAGCTGAAGCAGATGACGGACTTCATCCGCCAGGAGGCCGTCGAGAAGGCCGTCGAGATCGAGGCCGCCGCCGCCGAGGTATCCTTGTCCCCGCCTTTCCCCCGTACATTCTTTTCTAGAGGGTCTCCCAGGTCTGGATCTCGTGATCGGTCGGCGAGATCCGTGTCGCGCAGGTTCGGATCTCGTGCGGCGCGGTAGGATCGGGGATCGCGCAATGTGCCGTTGGGTAGGGGGTGGGTCGAGCGAATTGGGCGGGGGATCGGGCAATGCTGGGGGTCTGTGGTGGTCAAGTTGGCATGCGGGGCTTAAGAAGAGGAGTTGTCTGTATTATCCAACTGCGGCATTGTGTTCGTTGCGAGTTCTCTAGTATGAAGTCCAAATATGCTAGATCAGTGGTGCGGCTGAGCTAGACACCCGCTTATCTTGCATTTAGTACAACTCCTTTTACAAGCCTTTTAGTGCAACTGTGTAATTCAAATTCAGTTAATAAAATTAATGAACTACTCTGTTCACTCCTGTTAGATTTCGTCCACATTGCTATTGGGCAACGGTGACACTTGTACCATAGGAGAGCATGAACTGTGTAATGTCATGATTTGGCGTAATGTGCTTATAAATCTGAAAGGTCTGCCACTTTTTCTATGAACTGATGTGTATGTTAACTACTCAGGAGTTCCAAATTGAAAAATTGCAACTGGTGGAAGCTGAAAAGAAGAAGATCAGAGAGGAGTATGACCGGAAAGAGAAGCGAGTTGGCATCAAGAAGAAAATGTAAGTAATAGTTCTTACTTAGGTTCTTATTCATTCTTGTGACTTATTTCTGTTTTACCTATTTCACACTTTGTAAAGGACATAGCTATTCGCTACAGGCCATTATGGATATTTCCCACCTTTGGCATGCCTGTGACACACATGCGAGCAATTCAATGATCTTATTGTGTGTGATTGTATGCAGTGACTACTCGATGCAGCTCAATGCTTCCAGAATTAAAGTTCTTCAAGCTCAGGATGACTTGGTAACAGATATGTTGGAGTCAGCAAGGAAAGATCTACTGTGCATAAGCCGAGATCACCAAACTTACAAGAAACTTCTCAAGATACTTATTGTTCAGGTTAGCTGAATATATTTTGCATTCTTCTATGCGAATATGAAGCATGAACTTGGTGCAGCTACTGCAAGCAATAGCTCGTTTTAACTGAACACAGAGAACAAATGTTGTAAAAAAAATTAAAACAGGCTATTTCTGTTGTGCTGCGTATTCCATTTTCAGCTCATTTCCTGGTTGCTATTGACCAGTAGTCTGTTAGAGTTCTAATTGCTGGAGATAACATCTATCCAACTGCCAAGCTGAATATAGCTGAAAATTTGGCTAGATATTTTTAGATGATATAAGACAATTCAGTTTTCTATGAAAAATCCATGGTTCTGTTCCTCACCCTGAAGAATAGCATGCCTGATTTTGGGTAATATATTCAAGTCATGATTTTTTTAGCCATGCTCTTGGTGTAACTTTTTTTATTAGACTTGTAAAGTAATTGCGGTGGACAGTGGTTGACACTGCATTTGGTGTATGCCAATGTACATGAGTAGAGTGGCTTAGATATGGCTTCGCACTAACCTATATTTCCATCCTTCAGTAATTTGAGCACCAGTTAATGCAATTTTTTCTCTAAACAGAGTTTGCTGCGCCTGAAAGAACCAGCTGTGCTTCTCCGCTGCAGGAAGGAGGATCTTGAACTTGTTGATTCAGTTTTGGAGTCTGCAAGCAATGAGTATGCAGATAAAACAAATGTATATCCTCCTGAGATAGTGGTAGACCGTCACATCTATCTGCCATCTGCTCCCAGTCATTATCAGGCACCTGGTCCCTCCTGGTAAGGCTTGAAGTCTTTCATGGCTTATGAACGAAGATCTCCTTTTATGATACTGTTTACTGCCATTTGTTCATACTCTACATTTCATGTTTACTGGATTTCTGATTGGATACTATCTTTAGTTTCTATCATAAATTTTTGAAGGAAAGGCTTGTCGCTCCCCTTGTGAAATCATAGAACCTTTTGTATGGTGTGGGCGTTTGTTATTGTCCCAGTATTGCCTCTGAAAAATTTCTTATGGCATCACTGTAATATGCATAGGAGGAAATGCCTTACTGTATAGCTTTATAATCTGTTCCTACCAGTTGTCAGAAGAATCTAATCATGTTTAATGCATGTTAAGTTTTTGCATCACAGTGCTCACTGTTATACCTCTCAATGTAGCTCTGGTGGAGTTGTGCTAGCTTCCCGAGATGGAAAGATTGTCTGCGAAAACACATTGGATGCTAGATTGCAAGTGGTTTTTAGAAAGAAGCTGCCAGAGGTAAGCCGCACGTTTTCCTGTTTCCTTTGAGGCTTTGACATTATGATTTCAGAAGTGATTCTGTTCAATTTACCGTGCATCTTCCCGCACGTCTCTGGTCTGATGACAACCTTTGTTTGGGATTTGTATGTTTACAGATCCGTCAAAGCCTTTTCGGGCAGGTAGCTGCGTAACCAATTCTTGAAAGCAGAACGTGGCCCAGTACTCTTTGGGGTACCCTGATGATGTCCAGGAGAAGCTTCGGTAGCTCAATAGAGATTTATCACACTGTTTTGGATCATGATTATTATTTGTGTATACTTTTTTCTGGTTATGGATACTTTGTCATTAGATTCCAGACCTTTGAATCCTGCACCGAGCAAATAAGAGCAAATAACTGTGTTCATATGTGGGACGATCTTCTGTAAAATAAGGCATCAAGATGTGTTGCGATGCCACTTCTGTTAATAGCATAATGTTTTTTCGTTGGAGATTATATCGCTGGCTGTCATTTATTTTGCTGTGTTGTCGAATAGATAAAAACCCTAATTGGCTGCTGCTGCTGTCAGCGCACTAAAATTCCTGAGAACTCTATAACAATTTAGTCGTTCTTTGTGAACTCCAGGTATGTGAATGATTTAACAAATAGCGTTGCCTAGACGAAGAAAAAAGATGTTGCAATGTGCTGGTTGAGTTCGTAGGATTCTTTTTCATGATACGCCTAAAGTTGATACTACAGTATAGTTTTTAGCTGTGCATAGTGGGAGCCAGGAATCCAGATGATCCTCAACCTGTGTTGAAGGGGGAGAAATCTGGAGTTGGAGGTATTAGGCATGAGTACAAGTTTTTTTTTTTTTTAAAACGTGTATTGTCACATCATTAAGCCCTGCCGTAGAAGCTAATTCTATCATACAAAATTGTGCTTTAAATAAGTTATATAACCCACCTTATAGGATCACACATTAAGCATCAATGTGATCTTATCCTTTGTTTAAGCACCGGATGCAAATGATATGGTAAACAAAAGTTTTTTTTTACTAAAGCACCACCATTGTACATATTCTTCAGAACGCTAGTGGTAGAAAGTAGAGAGTACTGTAGTCCAAAGGCAAATGGGACCGCTGTTAAACGATTGGAATCGGCTAGCAACTTCAGCAAGAGCCTTCAAAATAGGGCTCCCACCTTCTATTTAAGGGCTTTCCTCTATTTTTAAGGGCCATGTTTTTTTTAGCTGCACACCCCAGCAGTGGCCCTCAAAACAATTCTAGTAGAGGATGACATGCAGGACCCTCTTGTCATCCTCTTTCTTTCCTTCTTTCCTATTGACCAACTCGGCCATGCGTCTGCCACGAGGCCGGACGGGAACAAGGCTCGCCGTGGGCGGGGAGCAGGGCGTGGGGTTCCTTGCCACAAGCAGGCACGCAGGGCAAGGTAGCTACGAGCGCCACGCCGGCGAGCGGAGGAGGTCCAAGTGGGAGGGACCAACGACCCCAACATAAATTTGGGCCCTCCTCCAGGCCCCGAGGAATAAAGGTTCGAGATGGATTTGAGGGTCCTATCAGATTCAAGGGTTGGTCCTGTTGAACCTTGTTTTTCCCTCAAATCCTTAAATTTGCTTTTGACTTTTGAGAGCTCTTGTGACTTTGTCGGAGCTACACATGAGGAGGGAGATGTGAGTTGGAAGGTCAAGTAATGTCTAAGAAGGATATCTTTCGTTATCTGGGATCGATGCTATAGAGGAATGGAGAGAGATATTGATGCGGACGTTAGTCATAGAATCAAAGCAGGATGGACCAAGTTGCGACAAGCTCCTGGCATTCTTTGTGATAAGAGGGTACCACAAAAGTTAAAAGGCAAGTTTTATAGAACGACGATTAGACCGGCTATGTTGTATGGAGCAGAATGTTGGCCTACAAAGATTCGACATGTTCAGCAATTAAGTGTTGTAGAAATGCGTATGTTGCGATGGATTTGTGGTCACACAAGAATGGACCGAGTTCGAAACGTTGATATACATGATCGCCTAGGGTAGCACCAATTGAAAAAAGCTTGTTCAACATCGGTTGAGGTGGTTTAACCATGTCCAAATGAGACATTCAGAGGCACCAGTGCATTGTGGAGTCCTAAGCGAAGCTAATAATGTGAGGAGAGGTAGGGGAATACCGGAATTGACATGAGAAAGCAATAAAAAGATATTTGAAAGCTTGGAATATACTTAGAGATCTATATTTGAATAGAAATATTTGGAAAGCAGATATTGAAATGCCTGAACCGTGACTAGAGGTTTTCGGTGGGTTTCAATTCTAGCCTACTCTAATTTGTTTGGACTAACGGGCCATGTTTTTTTTTTCAACTGTTGTTGCTGTTGTTGAGCCACGCTGGAGTCGCTCCAACCGAGCATTCACATGATCCTCGATGGCCGGCCGCCCCTGCTTCTGCGGGACCCCACCAGCAGTGAGCCAGTCCCTGGGCCGCGCGCTTCTCCGCCGGCTCGTTCAACCTTCCCGCCAAAAGTTTGGAAATCCCCTCCTCCCTCTTTGCCAGAAAAAATATATAGAAGAGCCAAAAACAAATCCAAACCCGCACACAGATCTGCCACCGAACCACTCTCCCTCCGGGCTCCGGCTTCCCCTCCGCCACCGCCATGACGGCTGGCGCCGGCGAGCCCCACCGCGTAGTCCTCCTTCTCGACCTCGATCCCCTCCTCCCTACCCCCAGCTCAAGCAGCCCCGCCTCCGCCGCCGCCGCCTACCTCGCCGCTGTCCTGCCCGCCGCCACCTCCCTGCTCGCCGCCTCCCGGTCCGCGGCGTCCCTATCCGCGGGGCGCCTCTTCTTCTCCTCCCTCTCCCCGATCCTCTCCTCCTCCCTCCTCCCGAGGCTGCTCCCGGCCGCCCCCACCCCGCTCTCCTTCGACCTCCACCCGGCCACCCTCGCGTCCCTCGCCCCGCTCCGCCGCCTGGCTCTCCGGGCGGCCCCCGCGCACCCGCGCGTCTCAGCTTCCTCGTCCGTCGCCAAGTCGCTCCTCCAGCTCGAGCACGACTACTCCTGGGACCACGAGCCCCAGCGCCGCCGCGGCGGCTTCGATCCGCCGCCCAATTTGGTGTCTCTCTTCACGCCCGCCGCGGAATTCGACGAGTTCGGGGACGGCGCCAGCTTCGTCGAGAAATTTCGCAAGGTCTTCGGCCCTGTCAGGGACCGCCTCTCGGCGATTGGCCTACAGGTGTGTTGGGTCGCCGTCCCCTCCGCCTCCGCAGCCGCCAGTGAGGGGATCAGGAGGGCGGTCACCGAGCTGGGCTGGTGGTTCGCTACCGCCGATGCGGTCGCGTTGGGGTCGGCCATTGCACCGCCGGCGCTCGTGTGGGGAGGTGTTGGACCTGGCGGCGGGGAAGGTGGACGGCGAGGGGAGGTGGTATTGGAGATCGCGGATGTGGAGGGCAAGCCACTCGTCTGCAAGGGCTGTGGCGTCGAGGTGGTTGGCTCCGCACGGTTGCAGCAGGCCAGCGGCAATGCCGTGTGCAGGATACATGTCAAGTCGGTGTGTGAGGTGGGGAATTGGGAGCGGTTGATGGGTGGGGATGGCGATGTTGCCGTGGTTCGAGGGTTCCAACGGGAGGGGAGCAAGGGTGACGGGGAAGAAGCTGTAGATAAGGAGTATTTTCCTCATCGGATTCTTGAATTGATCCTTGGTGATGAGAAGGATCGATTAGGGGTTGCCAAACCAATTTGGCAGCTAATTTTGGTGTTCCTTAGTAGAAGGAACTATTGTGCAGTAGTCTCAGTTTCTGATGGAGACGGGCACTCTGTAGATGGCGTTCTCATGCCCTTCTCAATGAACTGTGCATTACTTCATTTTGAGAAGAATGGTATTGGTTTAGGCCTGGTGTCTGCCAAAGCTTCCGAGACGCCTGGTAGTGGTGCATCTGATGAGACAAAGGTGCAGAGTGAGAGGAAGAAGAGAAGCAGGCTGGTCGGTAAGCTACTTGAGGTGACCACCTGGAGTACCTTCTGTGACATGCTCCTCAAACACGCTGATGGAATCATGCCGGTGGTGGACTTGGAAGAACTATATTTCAGCAGGTATGGCACCGCATCCAAAAAGTTGCGGTTTCTGAAATGTTGGATGAAACAGGTGAAACAGTCTTGTCTTAGTACTCTATCGAGCATACATACAGAAGGACAGAAGCGTCTTCCCTCACAGGATGATTCAGAAGCAAGAGTTCTGGTTTCAGAAGAAGATGCTTCAGCTGGTCTTGTCAATTTTTCGCTGGATGAAGCAGATTGCCAAAAGGTCGACACACCAGTGGATGAAGCAGGTTGCAGTAAAGTGGGCATGCCAGTGGATGTAGCAGATTGCAGTAAAGTGGACAGATCAGTGGGTGAAGAGAGTTCAATGTTCTCTTCTATGGAAGATTTAGAAGCATTTCTGGGAAGTGTCCCTCATAAGATTGAGCAAGGTCTTTGTTCTGAAGATGCTGATCTGGGGAGTTTAGCTGAACGTTTGGTTGGCTTGTCTGTCCATGCAATGTTGGTTAAGCACGGAAAGATTGCAGTGAGGTACTTTGAACACAATGAAGCAGAAGATGTTTCTGGTGCAAAAATTGCATGTGAACTTTCCAATATTTTACTGAGGAAACCCAAAGAACTGGCGTCAAAGTACAGAGAAAGTGATTCAGTGCCTGCTGCATCACAACAAACTGCAAAATACAGTACATGTTGTAAAATTCGAGAGTATCCTTTTTTTTAATTCTCATTCTTTTCCTTCTTCCTGTGCAATTATTTTGGATGACATCATCTGCAATTCTATGTTTTTTATATTAAATCTTGTGGTTTTGTACACCTTAATAAGCATGTACCAGGCATGAGCTGCAGATTTTGCTTAGAATGGAAATGATCAAATCTGAACTCGGATCTGCTATAGGGGAAGGTTCAAAACAGAAAATGATAAAAGACATCTGCTCACTTTTGCAATTTATTGACATCAATCTCCAAGGGGATTCTTTTCAGTCTGACAGTATTCTTGAGTATGCTGAAAAGACCATAAAGTCCAGGTATGACTTCGTTTCTATGCTTTCAGTTCATCTCAATGTTGTTTAGCAGACTGTTTGTGAATGTTAGTGTTGAAGTTCATGTAAATAGTAATAGTAATTGTGTAAGGTTAAACTTGCTACCTATGTCAGGAGATGCATGCTCTGTACTGCTTTCTTTGCCAGAAGCAAGTTTTGTGCTTTAGGGCAAAATGGTATCTGTAGTTCTGTCTACTGCAACTGCAAGTAGCTGGGTAGCCAGAGATACCAATAAAAATTGATGAAGTTCTAACTTGGAATACTTTTCTTAATATTACACAATTATCTGGTTATATCTATGCGACAGGCTTACAGGGACAGCCTGATACCATATGTATCTCTGTTATGTACGGTTGAGACTGCTTCAGTCCATTAGTTTCTTTCACTTTTGTTGACTACTACTACTACTTAAGAAACTCTAGCTTAATCCCTGTACTCTCGTTTTATGTAACAAAAATAGGAGGGAGCAGCATCAGTGCATCACATAATTGTTCTAATGTTTCTTGATCCTTTAGGGAACACTGCTGCATAGTATAGTAGCGCTGAAATAAAGATTGTGCTCTTCGTTTGCTTGATTCAGAGAGTGATGCTCCAATATTTCAGCAAAATCTAGATATGCTGTTGGTAAATTTGATAAATGTGAGTTGCTGGTCTTCACGATCATGGATATTGTAAATGCATTTTTTAAAGAAACCTTTATTTACTCTTTCTGCTAAGTGAATGGATACAGAATTACTAAATGAATCCTGTCCTTGGAAACAAGATGAGGCTGAGCCATTTTTCAGTTCAAATTGTTACATGTCACTTCGATAAATTGCTCCCATTTTCAGATTTTGCAGTAATATAACTGGACTTTCCAATGCTTTTCAGGTACATCAACTCCATGGAGGATGTGATCAAGAAGATCTACACGGAGATGGAGTTCGATTTATTTGACGAAGACGACGACGAAGTCGACTATTCAGATTCTCTACCCAGCAGCAGCAACCAGGAAGACGCAAACCGGTGCCGCAGCCACCGGGGCTCCGCCAGCACGAGCGCCTCCGCGCTCCAGCTGCTGCAGCGGGACGCAGGGAGCAGCCGGCAACGCGAGGACGACCGGCACGACGAGCTGATGGCGAGAGCCCAGGAGCGGCGGGACCGGCAGAGGCGTCTCTCCTCCTTCACCAGCTGGGTGCCCGACCTGCGCCGCGTGTGGGCGCTCAAGCACCCCGGGAAGGAGCCGTGCGCGCGGGTACCACGGTCCAGGTCGTGCTCCAAGCGGAGGAAGCGGCGGCGGGCAGCGTTCACGGACGTCGTCTTCGAGACGCCGGTGACCGCCGCCAAGAGGCACGAGAGCGGGTCAGAGTCACCGCCGGGGTCCGATGCCGGCCATGGGGCGGCGAGGGCAGCCGCGCTCGGGGCGGTGTCCAAGACCTTGTTTGATGACGAGGAGATTGAGACGGACGTGAGCTCGAGTAGCACCTAAACTGAGCTTGTTGGATGGTTGGTCGGTTCGGTTGGGTTGGTCGCCATTGTTGTCTTCTTTTTTCTTCTTTTTTGATCGATGAAAAGGGCCATTGTTGTCTTTGTGTTCGGTTCTTCAGCGTCGCTGTTCAGGAAGTGAAATGGCAGTGATCTTACTGTTGGCAGCTCAGTTCAGTGTGGCACTGTGCTGTGCTTGTCGTTTTCTGGACACGGATGAGTGAGTGAGCAGGGACACATGAACACATAGACATGGCGTACCACACTGACTGACGCTGGATTGACTGATGGACATGGACTCGATGGCTCACATCATGTTCGGTCGTGCAGGCGACATTTTTTTTTGGCCTCTCATCTTAAGTATGCATGCTCTATGGCTTGACAAAATGTTTGTCAATGTTTGGGCTACAACTGCAAGATGAAATTTCATTTGTTACGTTGGGTTGTTTGAACGTGACGTGGCTGGTGGCATGAATTTTGATCCATGAAGCTTGGCAACCGATAACAATAACAACACTACTATACGTCGTGCGTACGGCGTAGTTAAAAACTTTTAAATAGTGATTACACCTAGACGCGCAAGCATATCCTACGTCATTAGAAAGGGCCGGCAGATGGTCCAAGAAAGTACGTACCCACCGTTCACTTACAATATATAATACTCCATAATATACGCAATTACGCATTAGTATCTTTTAAGGAGAATATATACATACTTACGTCAGTTCATATTGAATTAATAATGGTACTTTCATGGCGAAGGAAAGAAGATCGTGTCAATTACGACACCCAAATCTCAAATGCTCAATAGTTGCTTCAAGCAATAATGTTAAAAAAAAGTTAGCAAAATGTCCAAATAAAAAGAAGTTGCAAAGACTTGTCTAAAAGGGGAATAGGTTATATATATCTCCAAATTCCTATACATAGATCCATGATTCGTTCCTCCATTGTGCAGGCAAACAAGCAAAGAAACAATATTGTTTTCGAAACGAACAAACTGTGTAAAAGTTTTTGAAACAATAAAAGATACATAAAAATGCACAAGCTTGTCCTGAATAATCCTAATACACATAGTTTCATGCATGCATGAATCCTTTTATGCATGGTCAAAGTTCCCCGCGCTTAGCATCATCTCCGTATATATACATCTGCAAAAGAAGAGATAAAAATGATGAGAAACTATCGACATACAAAAAAAAAAAAAAAATATATTTCATGGAAAGGAGAAAGAGAGAGAGGAGCTCCCTTCAATCCAAGCATGAGGGAAAGATGATGGTGGGTTCATCTCCCGGGTCATGCACACCCATGCAAGTGCAAGTGAGCATTAGTCATTGCTGCACCAGAGAGGCATCCATGAACCGGCAGCTGCAACCGACCACTTCCCCTCCTGGATTGGATCGAAGGGAGCTCTTCGATCGCTTTTCTTCGCCATCTTCTTCTTCTTCGTCTTCGTCTTCTTCATGGCTTCATTCATCCCATAGCAAGATATACTCTCATCCAGTTATATTTAGGCTTGTAGCTAGGAGCACATGAGCTAGCTATGGAGTTGTGATGAGGAGTACAACGATGGCCGGGTTGGTGGGCTTATATAGAGCTCATGAGCAAATCTGAGCCGTTGGTTCACCACATCCGTGGCCCCCTCCATCTCATATGTGGACAGAGAAAACATGCCTTGCCTTGATTTGATTTAGTTTGCCTATTATGAGGTTAGCATGCATGGAAACTGACGCTACTCTCTTTATTCCTTATGGCATCTGCTCATGCACTGGCCTTGTGCTATCTTAAAAAACACTTGGGAATCTCATAGTGCTGGAGACAGCAATTAACAGCTGGATTCGATCTTTAGTCTTTAGAGGCTTCTCCCTGGTTCCCGAATCCTCCTGTTGTCCGACCACTCTCTATTAAATAAAGTAATTTAATTAGTTTAGATATGAAATTTTAATTTAATTTACCCCTACAAACAGGCGATCAAATCTATGTAACAAAGATAAAATTGCTAGCAAGGTGGCTCGTGCAAATAACACGGCTATTAGGCTTAATCATCATGTCACATAAGCCTCAGGCCTAAGTCCCACTATATTGTTTATGTTATTGTTTATCAAGTGTCACATATCTCGCCAATTCGCGACAAGAGCGATTTGTTTATTTGGAGCTTACATAACAATGATCAATTTACGGTCCATTCTATGTATCTTCACATAATAAATCAAAATACACATTTCTCTCATAAATTGATTTGGAAGTTAAAAATTCCTCCGAAAGTCAAGATTTTCCTTTGGTATCTCGAACGGGGTAATTTCAACAAAGGACAACCTAATTAAGGGGAATTGGAAAGACAGTCCAAAGTGTTGTTTTGTAATTGTAACAAAATTTTATAGCCAACTCCCTAACATGTGGGATACAGAGTTGGGAGGTGTTAACCCAGGAACTATATATAATAGACAATCCTCTAGATTGTCTTGGCATGATGACAAACAAAGAAAAGATATTTAATGGTTTTGTGACAATTACAAAACAACACTTTTAACTATCTTTCCAATTCCTCTTAATTGTTAATGAAATAAGAATAGGACCAACTAAATTGTAGGATTGATGGCAAAGAACGAAGCATAGTGACTTCATAGTTCGTACTGTCAAGAAAGAGATTTCCAAATAAACTAATTTGCTAAATTTATATTGCTTAAGTGAAAAATTAGTTTATGTCGTATCTCTTTCTTTATACTGCCCCCTGAGAAAGCACGGTTCATGTCGTATTGGCATCTATTTAGGCCATGGTGGTTGCCAACTTTACTAAGCTTTACAAAAGAAGGAATTATAGAAGTAACTATGGTTTCATAAGACGAATATAAGAAGATGTTAGGTGGGTTAGTGGATGACCGCCATATAATGGCTTGACCGGGTCCCTTATACATATGTTTCCATTTATAGGTTTGATGCAATGTTAGCACACCATCTCGCTTATATGATAACGTACTCTATCGGAAATGCTTGTTCAGACTTTATAAAATAAATAAATAAATAAATAAATAAATAAATATATATATATATATATAATCATTTGAAAGTTTCTAAATAATCTCAAAACATATGATGTTTGGGATAAACTAATTAGTTTATTTTTAAAATAAAGACTTGTTCACTATATATTTAAAATCAAAGGTTGTATGTCCTCAATCCGGAAAAGATGTAATTCTGGCGTAGCACTGAGTCAAACCTAACTAATTTTATAAACAAATTATCAATATTTGTGATATTAAATAAGTGTCATTATATTCTTTATATGTAATGTGTTTTCATAGTATACCTATCACTAGTAGAGAACCTAGCTGTAGTCCCGGTTCTCAACTCCCTTTAATCCCGGTTTTGGAACAAGGACTATGCAATCGGGACTAAAGGTCTTGATTTTTAGTCTCGGTTTCTCCAACCGGGAGTAGAGGTGTTTATTGGGTAAAAAAAAGTTGTAACTGTGGAGATTCGAACCTACGACCTCCCACTTCAGCTTTTGCACGCGTTACCATCTCACCTACCACCACACATCTAACTTAGATAAGATACGCTTTCCTTTTAAATTCAGTCTGGAGACACCTTTAGTCCGGGTTTGAGACATAAACCGGGACTAAAGGTACCTTTAGTCCAGGTTCGTGTCTCAAACCGCTTTTAGTCCGGGTTCATGTCTCAAACCGGGACTAAAGATTCTCATACTGACGTGCCTCTGACACACCTCGGTAACCGTTGGGCAGGGACCTTTAGTCCCGGTTGAAGCTATCACCCGGGACTAAAGGTTTCTCTAGTCCCGGGCGCGAAAAATACCGGGACTAAAGCAAAATTTCGAAGTGGATCAAAAGTCGTTTCTCTACTAGTGTATTCCATGCATAAATTTTAATACGATGGATCCGATACACTCATTTTAATTTATGAAACAAATATAATTTATTGCCCTTTTAAGTATGTTATTCCTGCTTATCATAGTTGTTCAGCGTGCTATAGCTATCCTCATTTTGGAGGAACATCTGTTTTGTGTCGAAAGCAGTTTTTACCTAACCGTTGGGTCTAGTAACAAGTAACAAACAATATAATGCAAGGTCAGGTGTGTTCTTTACACTTGGCACAAGTGCAAACTTTAACTTTCTTGGAACCCAGTTCTTTTGAAAGCATGGATCTAGATTCGTCAGGCAATGCAGAGAGCTTTACATATTTTCACCCACTGTAAAACTTGTATACTCATGTACAAGAATATAGTAGCAATAGCATGGATTGAGGGGGATACATGGGCATCCAAACAAAGGCCTAATGGAGAAATATGTACATGTGTTCTTGACTTAAGGAGAAGCATACTCTTTCATAAAAAAAAATCAGGAGTTGAATAATTGTCAGTGTTAATTTGAGAGAGCTTTAGTTTCTTCAAAAAAAAGTTGAGAGAGTTTCTTATAAGGTTGGGTTTAAATGTATGGAAGAAGAAGAAAAGAAAAGAAGAGGTAAAAGCAGTCTGGTTCAGGTAAGCTTTATGGTCCAAATTGCAGCTATTTTGTCACGAGCTCATGCATACATAGAAGCATCACGCTTTATTCGATTCAAAGCACTCCTTGGGTATTTTAACCACTTTGTTCCAACCCAGCAGTAAGCTAGGATTCCTCTTGTCCCCTGGCCCTGTTTTGGACATAGAAAATGTGTAGGCAATTCTGAATTCCGAAGCCAGTAGTATTTTGGATTAATTAGGGTTTCCTTCCTGGTCTTTCTTCATCTGCGTGCTGAGAGCTTTGTCTCTTTGGCATTTAACATAACTAATCTCGTCTCTAATAAAACATAAACAAGTCCTAGTGTCACCACTCATTACATCAAAACGAAGAACCCCCAATAAGCATCTTATTTTATGCCCTGCATTTGCTATGAAAATAACATGCATGTTGGCTCTAAAAAACTCAGAGAAATCCAAATGATTACCGATCGATGTGGTGTTTGGATTCTTGAAGAGAACATGACGTCATTAGCATAGAAAAATGCTTG